GATGGCATTTGAGCGAGGAAGTTGTAACTACTGCAGTATAGGGATGGCCACCCCAGAGGTGCTGTGTGGGATGAATTCAATTGGGTGCATGCACACCAATTAATGAATTTAAATTAAAGTTGAAGAATGATAATGTAGTTAACATATCCATGAGATCAATATTTGATATTTGGAGTGGTCATGCTTGCTGCTGGAGAGCAGGTTTTTCATAAGTCTCTCTTAAGCTGCTGTAAAGGCATGCATTCAAGGTCCTTTAAAGTGTACATTTTGCAACTCTCCAGGGCCAGCGTTATCCACTCCTGAAGAAAGTCAACAAATTTGCCCAGTTGATCAAAAACCTGTATTTCCTGGGTTATATGCCAGCTGATGTTGAAGAGTGACGGCCTGTGTTGAGGCTCTTCTGGATCAGGAATGGCCACTCCTGAATTGCAGTGTAGAACAAATTAATGTGTCTGCACACACCATCACTCCACCAGGTGGCGCTGTGCACACTAAGAGAAGTGTGATAAAGTAGGACCCAAAAATGATTGATTGTTTAGGCAAAGCAAGCTGGAATTTAAAATTGCATGCTTTCAGAAATTTGAACTAGGATTGTAAAAAAGTGTACATGTCAAACACAGCAGCCAGCCTGGAGTTTCAGTATATGAGAAACAACTTTTTGAAACAGGAACATAAACTGATTTCATTGCATTCTGTACAATTTTATGAACCCCCCTCCCACACACACACAGTCCTCTCCAAACTTTTTCATTGAAGTTGCAGAGGGAAATCCGATTTGGTAAGGAGCACAACTGTGTAATGCACTTGTGTGCGCATTTCTTCAGTTATTCAGTGATTATTCGGATTGGCAGTAAGGTACGTGTAACATTGTAAAAGCACCCTTTTACAACAGAGAGGTCTTCAAAATGTGCTCCAAAGTTTAAAAAATAAATCGAAACCAGCAAAAAAGTTCAGCTGTATTAAATAATTTTGCTATTCAGTGCCTTATAGTGCTGCAGAAATACTGTCTGGCTCATATAAAGTAGTTAAAGCAATGCATCTATACTGTAGTGTGGTAAAAACTTGGAACAAAGCACAAGGCCTATCAGACCTATCCTTAGAACAGCACAAATGCCATTGAAATAAAGCACCACGAGTCACAGCAAACCAAGGCTAGAAATGTGAGAAAACTACCAGCTAATTGGGCTGTGTAGGATGTTTGAATGTTCATCACATCTAGTGACACAAAAACATGTTAAACTCAACACTGGGAAGATCAGGGATATTCACGCAGAGTAAGAAATGCACCACAAACAGCCAATCAGTGTGCGCAGGCTTTGTCTTTTGTTAACAGTAAGCAGAAGTGCCTGAGCTCACGAAAACTGCTCTGCTGCAGTGCTACAGTTTCACCGACGATGATGCAGTCCTGCCGTCTCGAAACGCCACCCACCACGAAGCACAAAACCGAGCAGGAACCAACACCACATTCCCCTCGTGTATGATGCAGGACCTGGTTAAAAAGGGGGGTTGCTTTATGACACCCCGCTAGACGCGGCGTCGGTGTGGGAGACGGTGACCGCCCTCCAGGGGGAGGGTTCATGGACGAGCCCCTTGCTGGCGAGTGAGAGGTGGGCGTGAGTCGGTGCAGAGCCCAGGGGAAGGAGCCAACTCTGGCAGCAGTGATGTGTGTGAGCCTGGCAGGAGTGTGCTCTGTGATCAAAGGCAAGCGGGGAGCGACAGAGAGATGGGAGAGGGAGGGTAACAGGAAATGATGTTTCTTTACGACTCCACAGCATGCCTCTGTGAGCCCTCTCTAGGTTCAGCTGCAGATCTCTCTGGGTTTTTTCACTACTGAATTATAGAGGACGATCAAAGAAAAGCTTTTATTCCAGCTCCCTCACTTTTTTTCCATTTTGCATATTGACTTGATCCGTGTTCAGCCTACATTTTGAGGGAGAATTACTTTAACATTTCAATTGAAGATCGATAAAGATATCCTAAGTGTAAAAAATCTGCTTTTACTGTAATGGAAGTATCTTATCATTACCAGAATCTTTTCTCTTCCCTTCCTAAACTCTTTCAAGATCACTTTTAAGTTTTGGGGGAATTGGGCACCGTCTGTATCCAAACTTCATCAACACATCAGCAGATGTATTGAAACCTTTTCTATAAAAAGATTTTATTATGAGGCAGAAAGGGTTCATAATGCTGAGTATGGTTCTATGACGACACATGAAGTTAACTGCTGAAGTTTTTAATTAGCTACATCGTCATGAAAAAGCTGAAAAGTCAGATGGAGCTATGCCTTGGTTTTTTGGATGTGAATGCCAGCCACAGATCACCTTAAATATCAAGGGTCACGCAGCCTCTAGATTGGTACCTATAACTGAATTTAACTTTTATTATCTATTTCCCGGGGAAAAACCCGGGATTCTTGGAAGCAATCCGGATTGTTTTTGTTTACAAGCACAAGTTTCTTCCTGTAGTTTGTTTTACCATGCAGATAATTGGGTTATCTGGAGTGTGAAAAGGTGCAATTAATCTCAGCTGCTCCAGAAATGCCCTCTTCAGATACCAAGACTGATTGCCTATTGAATTTAATACAGTAGTGTATTTGCATTGACTTTTTTTTTCTGCAAGATGCATCATTATTATCGCAGAACAGATCTTGGCAGGACTGGAGTGCTGTGACAGTTAGGAGGATGCAGGTTACAGCACTGCTGCTAACCAGGGAGGAGAAAAACTACACGGATGTAGTGGTATCATTTTCACCTACAAAAGACATGCTGATTCAGCTCACCACGTGAACGTTCCATGGGATTTCAAACTGCACTTTTTTTTTTTGCACACAGCTCTGCATCTCTGGTCCAAGAGCCTCATCCTTTCTCTTGCTGCAATTTCCCGCAAAGCTCCAGAGGTAGAAAACAAATAATATAAAAAACCTGAGAGCACCTCAACCCTAGAGCTCCCTTAATTTACAATACATCATTAATATATACAAAGTGGAATCTGACGTCTGTTAGGGACTGTTTTGTTTTCTAACCTTGTAAAATGCCGAGAACTAATTAATAGCTACATTCCCATAATTCACAGCAAACGCACCATAAATCTGAGAGGCGTTCCTTTTAAGAGAGAGAGCAACATCAGTTTCACTGGTCAGAGCTAGCTCTGGCGCACTCATGAGCATCGATAAGAGCTCGGTTGAATCACCTGTGCTGGGCTGTGGAGTTGGACTACATATACGCAAAGCAGAATTCGATTTTCAGAGTGGTGAAAAGGTGAGAACTAATTAATATTTATGCTCCCATAATGCAGATAAAGATATACAGTTTATAGTGACACCTTGTGAGGGGAGGTTCTGGTCACTATGGGAAAATGCTTTCACTTATCCTTCAGTATGAAAGAGGAGTTAAGATCCAAGTCTGGGGGAGTCTCATGTAAAAAGGTTAACAAATTGTGAAAGAATGGTAATCCTTGGAGTGGAGTTCCTTTCTGAACTCCTTTCTGACACGTACCGCAAGTCTTAACTACCAGCCAGTAGGCTAATTCCCTTCACTGACCAAAACAATGTTTTACTTTCATTGAGGGTGTTCGGCTCTTTTCCTTTGGTCTGTAAACGTCTCCGTTGCTTTTGCCTTTTCACCAACCTGCGCCCAAGTATACTGGTCTGCTGGACTGTTATACTGGGACCCTCGGGGATACTGGAAAACACCTGCATTAAAGCAGCCCACAGCTTCCTGGTGCAGCACTTGTGGCAGCAGCTGCAGTCTGTAGCTGAGAACTACAAATCATGTCTCATGGCAAGGCTATAAGTGTAAATGTTTCCACACCCAGGCCCATAGTATTTAGTACCTTTATTGTCCTGCTGCTACCGGAGGTGATTCTGAGCTTTACTCTAACGTTTTCTGGAGAGCTGATTAATGGTTGCATCGGTCCAGAGTTGATTACTCATTGAACAAATGGGGTAATGCAGTTATGCCGCACTAGTTGGTAGCTGAAAGCATATAGGCGTGGGCTCTCATTCCCCAAAACATGGGTGAAAATCACGGCCAGCAAGCAAAGACTTCTCCTAAACCAGGAGGCTGGGATCAGGGGGGGCTGGGACACATTTAACTCTGGGCAGACAGGGCTGGGCTTTTAAAAACAAGTGCAAACAATGCTGTTTCTATACCAGCCTCCAGAACGTGACGGAGCATTTGAAGGTACAGGGCAGCCTTACAGAGGGGGGGTTTCTGCTCTAAAACAGGCTGAAAGTTCTTGAAAAGGCTGAAAGTTCTTCGGGGGCCCTGCATGAAAGAGAAGGGTGGTGACAGGGTTCCACTTTCCATGCTTTATGCAAAAGTAATAATTATAATAATAATTCCTTACACTTCTATAGCGCTTTTCTGGACACTCCACTCAAAGCGCTTTACAGGTAATGGGGATCCCCTCCACCCCCACCAGTGTACAGCCCCACCTGGATGATGCGCCAGTCCACTCCCCACACACCAGCTCTCAGTGGGGAGAAGAACAGTGGTGGAGCCAGTTCAGAGGGAGATTATTAGGAGGCCATGATGGGTAAAGGCCAGGGGGAAATTTGGCCAGGACACCGGGGTAACACCCCTACTCTTTTTCGAAAAACACCCTGGGATTTTTAATGACCACAGAGAGTCAGGACTTTGGTTTGTGCGTCTCATTACAGTAGAGTGTCCCCGTCACTATCCTGGGGCTTTAGGACCCAAACAGACCGCAGGGTGAGCGCCCCCTGCTGGCCGAAGTGATGTGATGCCCAGGGAGGGGAATGGGGGCCTTGCATGGGGACCCTAGGACACCGCAGAAAAGGACAGTGCAGCAGGCAGGGTACAATCCAATCCAAACAGCACCCTAAGCGTCACTACTGATTAGGGAACTACCCTGAGCCCTACAGTACCCGCGGGGCTCGGTCAGCGGTCCGTACGCGAGTCCCACGGCCGGGCCTGCGTCTGCTCCTCCGGCTGCATGGCGGTCCAGGGTTTCAGCTGTGCTCTCCCTCTCTCCTGCAGGGCTGGACGACTGCCTCCAGCAGTACATCAAGAACTTCGAGAGGGAGAAGATCAACGGCGAACAGCTGCTTCACATCACGCACCAGGAGCTGGAGGAGCTGGGCGTCACGCGCATCGGGCACCAGGAGCTCATCCTGGAAGCAGTGGACCTCCTCTGTGCCCTGGTCAGTGTCGCGCGCCACGCGTAAGACGGCCTTTTCTTGGCGCTGCACTCGCGCCGCGCTGCCGGCGGCAAACCATGCAGTTAAGCCCACTTTCTTCCATCTGTGTACTCCAGAGCTGTCCCCTGTCCATGCCCTACTGGCTCAGAAACCCTGAAGTGAGACCACCACTATCCACGCAGGCACTGCAATGCTCCTGCATACTGTGCCATGTGACTTGGCACAAATACTGTAGCTGCACCATCCAATACAGTGGTTTCACTGACCTACTAAACAAGCCAGACCAAGCCCAGTATTGGGAGGTTAAGACTGTCATAGGGCTCTCCTTGGGAACATCTTGGTCTCCAATCTGGCATCATGCAGGTCAGATGGACTCTTAGGTGGCCGCCATGAGTCCCTGGTGACTCAGACTGACTGTGCTCTGCTGCGCTTGCTGCCCCATGAACACTGATGCCCATAAATTCACCAGAGCCTCTCATTCTGCCAGCATATGTCTCCAACAGATATTGCCAGGCTGAATTTACTGTTCCTATTTACTCATTTATAAAGCACTTTCATTCAGGTTTGGCATAATACATGGCATTTAAATGCAAAGTCTTATTTTTAGTTGCTGTTTGAAGGAGGAAGCCATACTGTCAGGCTGCCGAGCTGATGAGCTCATCTCTGCCTCTCTCTCTCTCTCGCTTTCTCAAAGGCATTGAAGCAAAACGAACACTGGTCCGTCAAAACAGAAAGCTTTAACTCCAGGTTTATTCAGTCGTGTCTTGGGGACAAAGAAAATGTTGGAATTACCCGAACATGTCCTGCAATAAGCAGAAAACCATCCACAGCGCATAAATATACATGAATACAGAGGACAGTATACGTACAAGAATATTGCATATCACGTATGAATAAGTTTACTGAACAGCAAAGACCTGACCAAAATTGCTTCTGACTTCTAGGAATTTTACTGTAAATGTTAACACAGTTAGTTCATCAGTGTAAAAATAAAAAAAATAAAAACCTGTGCCACACCACTGAACAATGAATCCCAGAGGTAACATATAGACGGTAATTAAGTGCTAGTGTAAAAGTATACATGCATAATTATCTGAGCGTGCAGATGTTCATTTCTAACCCTGTCAGTTCTTCCTGAAGCCAGAACCCAAGCCCATTCCACATGAGAGGATAAACACAGCCAGCTGTGCGAGCAGATCGTTTCAAACTGCAGCTTCTCCCACCGAGAGAGCTCTGCTGGGTGTCTGGAATAAACAGCCCAGTTGAGTTTATCAGACTGGATGCCATTCTGGAGTCAAGGTCCTACTAGAAACCAAAGAAGCGAAATAAGCTGAGTGGCCTTGCTTTTTGTTTACTAATTTGATGACAGTATGCTGATGTGATTCTGGATGTTGATCGGGGGACCTGCAATCGCCTCTTGTGAAGTTACGCCACAGGACAGCGATCTATGAAAAACCGTGACACCCCATGATTTTTCCCCTTTACTGCATCTGCTTCATTGTCATCTCTCACCCAGTGAGGGCCCACTCCCTGTGCAGACAGTGCAGACCCAGAGGTTGGTTTTACACTTGAGCTTCCCAAGCCAACAGCAGCTCAAGAGGGCTGTAGATGAGCAAGAGGAGCAGTAGAGAAGTCAAGGGAGCAGGATCTCAGCGTGGCTTGTCCTGGGGTATAGGCCTGCTGAGAGGAGACATGTACACGGCGGAGCTGCTGGGTGGGGTGGCAGGAAACAACCCTGTGATCCAAGGAGGAGAAGAACAGCTCTGGGATTTATCTCCCGGGTGGGGCTGAGACCATGGGAGGCAACAAAGCCTGGATTTTTCTGGGGGGGGGGATCCCCTGGAGGGTCTCTGAGCACCCCAAACTGAGAATCTAGTGGTCAGATCAGAGAAAATGCAAGGCGTTATAACCAAAGAGGGGGGGGAGGAGAAAATGTACTTTGGGGTTCAGAGGTGAGAGAGAGATGTGGCGTCTTTGTGAATTTGGTGGTTCAGAAGGTAGGAGTGCTGGAGGGACTGGAGCTGAACTCATATTACAGTAAGAATCCGGTTCTCTGCTGCTCCTGGCTTAGCTCGCCACCAGCTGGTAAACAGTTTCTAGGTGTTAAAGTGCAGGCATCCGTAAGGATGATGTTGGAAGGTGTCTATGGGGGACAGAAAACGGAAATGGAAGGCGGGATGAAAGAAACAATTCCCACAGCGTAAACCAATTTCCCCCCGAACTGTCACGTCGCAAAGCGTCTCTCACACCCGCCTGCCCTCTCCTCGGCTCCTCGGCTGCCGACTGCCGGCTCGCAGTGCAGGCAGCACAACGGCAGGAGCTACGAGACTCCGGCGCGTTCCTTTCTGCCTCTCCGTGACAGACAGCCCCGCTGCGGAGCCCGATCAGGAGGGGGGACGGGGCTGCGGAGTGCCCCGACTGGCCGACAGGCTGCGGGACAGAGCCGGGGCGGCGCGCGCACGCCAGGAATGTCCGAAAGCCCTTCCGTCATCTGAGGTGCCACGATAAAGAAGGGGGAAGGGATGGTTTCAGCAGCTGTTTCGCTGAATTTGGCTTATTTTCCAAGCTGTCTTGATTCTCCCGCTCTGAAAGCCTAAATATTGAGAGGCCCACGAGCTGACGAAGACCAAGCCCGCTTCATGACTGTGGCTTAGCCACCGAGGTGAAAGAAACGTCTCTGTGGAGGGAGCTGCTGTCAGGTGTGACGGGGTCCTGCTGTTTGAGGGAGTGCGGAAAGATGACCCAGGCCTGTGGCCGTCTGCGTGTGTCTGCAGGGCCAGAGCACAGAGGAGAACCAGGCAGATCGATGGCACTGGACGAAGGTCACCTCTGCAGCGTCCTCTTATCTCCTGAGTAGGTGGGAAGCAGAAAGACAGCTGATTTCCTGTGGGCCGAGTCGTTCTGCTCCCAAACGCACTGGGATTCCTCTGCATTTAGATTCCCAGTCCCAGTCTTCCCAGTCTTGTTATTCCTGCTGGGCCACGGAAACTCATCCCGGTTTTTTTCCCTGTTTGGATCTGTGCTCTTTAAGGTACCCTCTGGGAACTGGTCATGAGTGACCTGCCTCTCTTAAGAAAGCCTCTTCCTGTGCGAATGGGCGAGAGTGACTGTGTTGTTAAACATCAATTTTGACATCCTTCCGGAATGCCTAACTCCAGATTACATCCCTTCTTCCAGTCCTCGACTTCGACCGAGTTGTAATCATCTGAGACTCTTGTCCCTTATGCTGCACGTTAATCCCCAAATTAAAAGGCATGGGACTGACACCTCGTGTTCTTCATGGACATTTTGAGTAGAGCTCTGTGCACTGCTAATTAGGAATGACTGATCTGAGCAATGTATCGTACAAACAAATACTAGGATTTTACCCTCCATATATTTGCTCAGATCTTATGTACAGTAGGCTGCACCATGCATCTGAGTGGTCAGCCATGCAGCATTTGGGTTTGGACGGGCCTCTAAGGGCATCCCTGTGATCTGGAGCACGGCAGCGTCTTCAGACTCCCCGATTCCTGCCATGACTCATGCCCGGCCGCTTACAAAGCCCTTATCGATTTGCACGGAGCGTTTCAAAGTCAGATCATGTAGAGGCATTACGTCATTCCGGCAGGAGGGCTGACATGAGTAATTGCTGCGCTGGGGAAAGGGCGCGCCTGTCAGCGTGGCCGGGGGAAGGATGCGCGGAGCGCCCGGCGAGCGAGGAGGGTGACGGGCAGGGCCCGGCCGCCAGGGCAGCGAGGGCTGGAGCTGGCTGAGCCACAGGTCTCTCGCTCTGTCTCTCGCTCAGCGCCCCTGTGCAGTGAAGTCAGAGGGAAAACAAGAGGGAGCTTGAGCTGCTGGCTCTGTTAAACACACACTGAGCCCCAGCAAGAGAGTGGCTCACTGTTCAGGGAGTGCACCGTGCCGGTCACAGCTTGTTGGTGTTGGACGTTTAAGAGGAGTGGAAGACACACAGAGAAAGGCACGAAACTGGGCATGTTTCACCTATGCGGACTATACAATACAGGCGGTCACATGGACTAGAATAGTCCATGGGATAACACTTGTCAGTGCTATTTCACTGCCTAACTCCAGATGACATCCCTTCTTCCAGTTCTCGACTTCGACCGAGTCGTAATCATCTGAGACTCTTGTCCCTTATGCTGCACGTTAATCCCCAAATTAAAAGGCATGGGACTGACACCTCGTGTTCTTCATGGACATTTTGAGTAGAGCTCTGTGCACTGCTAATTAGGAATGACTGATCTGAGCAATGTATCGTACAAACAAATACTAGGATTTTACCCTCCATTTTTCCCGGCCGCCAGGGCAGCGAGGGCTGGAGCTGGCTGAGCCACAGGTCTCTCGCTCTGTCTCTCGCTCAGCGCCCCTGTGCACTGAAGTCAGAGGGAAAACAAGAGGGAGCTTGAGCTGCTGGCTCTGTTAAACACACACTGAGCCCCAGCAAGAGAGTGGCTCACTGTTCAGGGAGTGCACCGTGCCGGTCACAGCTTGTTGGTGTTGGACGTTTAAGAGGAGTGGAAGACACACAGAGAAAGGCACGAAACTGGGCATGTTTCACCTATGCGGACTATACAATACAGGCGGTCACATGGACTAGAATAGTCCATGGGATAACACTTGTCAGTGCTATTTCACTGCTCTGTTGTGGGAGAAATGCAAGCAGGGTTGTGTCTATTTGCACTGTGATCCCAGAGTGGACACAGCAGAGTTACAGGTACAGTATGTGCCAGGTGGAGGACAGAAACCGCTGCCACTGATGCCTCTCTGAATCTCCATGAACAGGGCACATGACATGCTATGAAGGATTAACGTTCGGTCTCATAATTTAAATTAGCATCAGGGCCTTCAATCTGGAGCTGTCACCTCATGAGGGAGACATGCATGGCCTTTGCTAAAGAGAGGACTCCCAAGGGATTGTAGCTGGTGGGTTTGTATGAGGGCTTTGCCACCTGTGGCTTTATAATAATCCATTGTTGCACAGCAGGCCTAGGATCCCTGATCGGACTGTTTTCCCTGCAGGTTCAGTGGGTTAGTGCTGGGAAGTCTTGAGTGATTGTAACCTGGCTCTAGGCCATAACCCGAAAGTGACAGAGCCTGGACATGCGACTGCCGTCTCTGCAGGACGCTTCAGGGTTTGCAGTTCTGAAGCGATCAAGGCTGGGGTGAAAGCCATGCAGAGGCTACGCCAAAGTGCTCTGGATTAATACGCTGAATCGGATTCAAAGGCAGCGGGATTTCCTTCTTATAGGCTGGGCTCACGTTTCTTTTTTTTTTTCATGAAAATCCCACACAGAAATCTTTGCATTTCGCATGTGCCAGGCTGAAAATCAACGCACAATTCCTGTATCTGCCACCAGTGGACTTCTGCTTGTCCCCTAAATTGCTGAGATGGAAGAGCTCAGGAGCCCCCCGTGCAGGACAGAGGGGAAGCCCTCTGTTCTCCCCCTGAGGTGAATAGAAGCCAATCGGCAAATCAGAAAAATGGATTGCTTCCGATTCTTGATGATTTTCAGTCTCATTAGCCATTTTTAATTTCTTCTTGGATACCCAGGTGGCGAAGGCATCTGGGAAATCCAATGTGGGGGTAGGCGATGGGGTACTTGTTCCGCCAGCAGGAGCTGGAGGGCTCAGCATGGCCCGCGGTGCAGAGGGAGCCAGTGGCGCTATCTCAGCGCTGCACATGGCAGGATTAGCTGCTGTACCGCGAGTTACGTCAAGCCTGACGCTTCCTCCTGCTCTCGGCAGCCGTAGGGGAGTCTGGGACCAAGCGGAGGGAGGGTGGGGAGGCGATCAGTACAGACAGCGAGTGTGTCACAGCTAGGCCGGGAGAGGCTCAAACTGGATGGGCTGCAGCCGAGGAAGAAGAAGTCATTATTGCATGCATTTAACACTTTTCACAAAGGATAGCAAAGTGCTGTCCATTCAGGAGGAAGTCCACTTCTCCCACCCCTCTCTGGAGGAGAGGTGAGAAATGGCTTGACGTGTCGAGTTTAGAGAGGCCAGACTGTGCAAACCCAGAGAGAAAATGAACCAGCATGCACCAGGGAGAGCACCTCTACTCTTACGAACTGTGCCTCAGGATATATCACGACCTCAGTGGGGACAGCACCTCCCATAGGGATAGCATCCTTGGTCACCAGACTAGGGCACCCGACTGGAAGTTATTGGCCAGAGGTGAAGAGCGCCACCTACTGGTCCACCAACACCACTGATCTAGCTAAAGTTCACACACGTTAACGCAAACAGAACAATTAGGATACATTAGGGTGGCTTGTTGTAAAAATTCACTGTGGACTTTCCATCAGCATACGACTTTTTTTTTTGCTTTCAATTTGTTTGGCATTTAACATTGAAACACTTCGTCTTCTCGGTCTTTCTGGTCACCATCCTCTTCAGCCCCTGGCACCTCACCGCGAGCAGCGCTGGGGATTGGTACCCCAGAAATGTCTCTTCCTGCTTGCTGAGCCCTCTTGCTCTCTGCGGCACAGAAAGGCCGTCAGAACCAAGACCCCACCCTGGAGTTCGGCAGGTAACGCCCTGACATTCTGAGCGAAGGAGAAGATGACGAGGAAGGATCCGGGAGAGACGAGCGGAGAGGCTGAGTCATCAGCCTTGTCGCCCTCAAGCCCGGCGTGCAGAAAGTAGAAGGTTACCACGGCAACCTGCAACACAGGCCGACACGCACGTTAATGGAGAAGACAAAAGAGCATCCTTCTTCCTGGCCTGACTGACAGAGGGCGGTGTCTGGCGGTGTGGGGTGGCCCAGGTGAGGGGTAGGCTGTCCCCCACTGGCAATAACCCCTCAACAGCCCGCGCCCAGCTCCACCCTGCCCACTGCACCCACCCCACAGGTGGGGAGGAAGTGGTGAAGAGGTGAACTGTGGGAACTTTGCAAAACCACCGAAGCTTCAGAGCTTGACGTGCATTGATCTCAGCTCCCTTGCTGTGGAACACTCCACCGTCTCGCACCTATCTGCCCATACCGCCTCTCAGCTGTACCCATTAGTTTCTCCCCAGCAGGGGGAGCTACAGTTAAGACTCCTTAAGGACCCCGGAGTCTAAGGAGCTCAGGAAGCGTGCTCTCCAGAATGAAGCTCACAGGGCCCAGAACTCCGCACGGAGACTGTCGATGAGGAAGAGAATTTGTGGCTAAATTGAATACATGCATATTAATCCACTGCACAGCACAGCTCACTTCAAGAGCAGTGTGTCTGCTCAGGGAGTTTCCATGAGCCACAGCAGCTCTTCAGGGTGAGAGCTCACGCAGGTTTCGGGGGTGATAAGCAGACAGGAGAGCATAAGACTCCCCCACCTGGGCAAGACAGGAGTCAATTGCAGGGGTCACCCCCCCAGTAATGCTGCTTCCATTCATACAGCAACTCACCCAGGCGCAACAGCAGTGTCTGCCCACTTACCCACTACACTACACTGCCCCTGGATAAATTGGATCAAGTCTAAATGATTCTTTTGGAGTAGCCTTGTTTAACAGAGAGAGAGAGAATTTCCTGGGTTCGAACTGGCTCTTTCTCTCAGTTGTCTATAGCCAGGAAGACAAAAATCAAGATCTTTATTACTTAGTGTTTCCTTGCAGTGTGTTTTTTTCCCAGAATGCACTTTGCTTGCCGGCTAAGGCCTTTGACGGAGCAATTCATCAACATTCGGCAGTTTGCAGAGATGCCACACATGTGTTGAGGGAGTGGGACACTGAGGAGGGGATGGAGAGGGCCTGTTGGGGGCGAGGAGGTGTCGGACTAGCGCCGCAGGCGTCAGCGGGGATCAGTCACTGCTGGGGTGCTGTGTCTGGATGTGCAGTTTGTAGCTGAGCAGGATGCCTGTCACTCTGTCAGTGCCGCTCTGTCAGTCTGCTCGGTGTGAAGCAGCAGAGCACTAACATAAGGGCATTGCACAGCAATTCATCTGGCTACTGCAAGCTCTCAGCTCTCCCTGCTGGGCTTTGAGCTACACTCTTCCTCTTATTTAGATAAATCTGTGCACGATGCTGCAATGAAATTCCTCATACATAAAAGTGGTACCATGCAATGCAGGTTTGCATGGGCAATGACAGAGGACATCACGGACAAAGCTGGTGGACACAACAGGCCCAGTGGGCACTGCCGTCGTGCACAGGAATAATTCTCTCCTGGCTCCATTTGTACCTGCACCAAGTGCAGTTGTGTGAATAAAGTCAGGTAACTTCAGGAACACCCAGTGATGAGTTTTAGGCTCATGGTGAAACGGGCCGGGCAACAGGATGACATTGCCGACAAACAAGCAGGCGTAGCTGAGATGCTGCGAGCGCCAAGACGTGAATCTCTCCGTCGGCATTTGCCAGCCCGACTAGCGCGCGCTCCCATGCTCCCACAATGCCGAGCTGCACCCTCCGCTGGCGCTGCAGGCGTTGGCGTCTGTGTGCATCCTCCTGGGGGGGGAGTGGCAGTGGGGGGGGGCTGCGTTAGGAGGGCAGAGGGTGTCCTGAAGTGGACCGTCAAACTCATCAGTGTGTCTGACAGCCAGTCGGATTGGGATCATTCCTGCTGGCTTGGGGGGGGGCGGGGTGATGCCAGCTGTGCCCGAGTGACCGTATCGGTGTAAGACCGTTCACTATCTGGAAGGTACCACTTTAACTGCTAGCATATCGCGCCGCTGCTAACAGTATCACGATGCTTCAAGTGTATCTTCAAGTGCCTCTCCAGCTCTCTCGGCTCGGCTCAGCTCGGGGTTTTCGTGGCCAGAGCTGCGCCCCTCCCGTCACACGGACAGGGTAGCGCTTGCCACCGGCACTCTGAACGCAACACGGCACTTTCCCTCTGCCGGCTGGAAAGTTTGCGCTGACTGTCCGGTTGCTTGGCAACGAGCGGTTAAGAAAACACATGAATAAATCTAGAAACAAATAATCGTATAAAACTGCCGCTTTGAGAGTTCATGACTCACCAGTCTGTTTGAGTCTTAAATTAAAAACATTGAAGTTATCCATTATCTGCTGTTCTGACCTCCCCTGTGCTACACACGCTAAATACAGAATTGTGCCTGGCTGGTTTATTGCAGCCTCTTATAGGAAAGCTCCAGTGCTGCTATGAAGCCTAGGCGATGAAGGGAATTAAATAGACTTAACATTAAAGTAGATTTTGTTGTGCTTGAGCTCTCCGGGCTTTTGCGGGAAAATCTGAGGCTTATCTGGACACCTCGCTGTTCATTCTAGTCATTCATCGCACCAGTAATAAATACAAAAACGCCAATTCACTAGTTTTGAGCAGAGGCTCGCCTGTATCCGGGGTGTAATACTGCAACATGATTTAAGCAGGAACTGTAGTCCTTCGGACACACGTTGAACAAACTCTGCCTGTGCAAGATCTCTCCATGTGTCAGGTGGATTAAAACAGGGAGTAATCTGGGTAAACACCTGTCGAGGTGTGGTAAAACCTGGCACGTCATGGTAAAACATGACGCAACAAAGCATAAGCAAGAGTGAAATCTTCTGGAAACATGAACAATTGCCCTGCACAATTAACAAGAAAAATCCTCACAGGAGATGCATGATCTGAAGAATGGAGGTGAACACCTGCTTAGGTATTAAGACTGTACTAAAATATTCAAGCACTGAAACCCTGTGTCTTGGTGCATCAGAGATTTCTGGGCATCTGGCTGTCCTCTGCCGTTCACAGCGCCCGCCTCACTCTGTGTTTCATGTCGGTGTTTCTGACGGGTCTTTTTTTTAAAGTCATTCCCACTAATCCCCTCCTGCACACTCCTGTTTCAGAACTATGGCCTGGAGACGGAGAACCTGCGCACCCTGTCCCACAAGCTCAACGCCTCGGCCAAGAACCTGCAGAACTTCATCACCGGCCGGCGCCGCGGCGGCCACTACGACGGGCGCACCTCCCGCCGGCTGCCCAACGACTTCCTCACCTCCGTGGTCGACCTCATCGGGGCAGCGAAGAACCTGCTGGCGTGGCTGGACAGGTACTGGACCAGCCACCTGTCCCTCTGGCCACGTACCCCTCCGTCAGTAGACCAGTGCTGATCAGGCCTCGGCAGCCCTGGCCCCTGAGAGCCCCAGCCCCGCTCTCCTCACAGGTCACCCTCCATCGCCTGCTGTCGGGAGACGAGGAACACTTGTATACCCACGACTGATGGACTCAACAAGCAATGCTTCTGCTTCAGTGAAATGGACACCCGAGCTTTGTTACAAATGTTCTCTGAATTACGTAATTCAATGGCCTGTTTAGTTGATCGTAGGTTGTTACACGCCTTTGGAAATCAAGGATCTAAGAGCTACTTTGAAACCTGCTGGACTGGGGCTCTCTGGGGCCAGGGCTGGAGAGGCCTGTCGATCTGTGTCTGTGTGTAGAATTGTATGTCTCTGTGTGGATTGTGGATGGTCATGTCCATTCACTAGTCTCCGTTGTTTTTCATCGCTCGGCTTCCTTCTGTCAATCTAAATGTGTTTGCTGATTTTTACATTTGGTATACATTCATTTCTTGTGTGCTTGTTGCTGAGCCGGACTCCGGCTCTCTGGCTAAGGATCTGTGCCTGTGGCTGGAAGGTTGCTGGTTCGTATCCTGCGGACGGCAGAGGAACCCTACTCCGTTGGGCCCCTGAGCAAGGCTCTTAACCTCAGCTGCTCCAGGGGCGCCGTATAAATGGCTGACCCTGCGCTCTGACCCCAAGCTTCTCTCCCTGTCTGTGTGTCTCATGGAGAGCAAGCTGGGGTATTTCTTGTGTTCCTAATACAAGAAATTGTATATGGCCAATAAAGTGAAAAAACAAACAAACAATACATTAGAGGTACTGCAGTAGGACACATAAGTATTGGGTGTCCCTGGATAATCTTTGCCTAGGCCATGCTAAGATGGCTATTTTTTTTAAATTAAAGAGTCAGGAGAGGATGTTGATGACAGGGGATGTGCTTTTAATTTACGGTTTCAGAATTTAAAAACCAGTACACCCACTGCACATGTTTAAGTGGGTTTGGAAAGAGGAGAGGTGGCGTGCTCTGCAACTTGGAGATGATGTTATTGATGAATTGGTGAAAGTATTTTGTGTATAGGTGTTTTTTTTTTAAATAGTTGTATAGGCAGGTATTCCTGTTTGACATGGTAGTGTATTAACGTATCAATATGGATGCGTTATAGGTTATGAATGTATCGTTTGAGGAAAATGAAAACAAAAGATCAGTGTAAAATCTGTTCATCTGTCTGCCATTGTGGAGTGTCATAGGCGAGAAGAAATTGTTCTGTATTGCAGCGTGGGCTAGTGGTCGATGCTATTGCGCTGGGAGAGGTTGTGGGACAGAGTTTCTCTGTGTGTTTGTTTTTATCTATACAGAACAGGGCCCTGGGAAGAATAAGTGAAAACAATCTGTGGACTGTAGGAATAGATATGCAGTATTTCTGGTAGCCCCTCCTTTAGATTAATTAGTCCATTAGGGCCATTAGTGACTGGCTGTATTGTGAGTCTCCCGTTGAAGCAGCGATGGATGAGGTCATCTAAAAACCCTTTTGTTCTTCTCTGCCAGGTCTCCATTTGTCAGCGTGACAGAGTACTCGCTACTCAAAAACAATATCGTTCAACTGTGCCTGGAATTAACAACAATGGTGCAACAGGTAGGTGTCAGAAAGACAAAGTTTTTTTTTTAATCAAGACTCCTGAGAGGCAACCTCGTTGTGCGTGTACGTTTACACGAGCAGTCAATATAATGTGATTTAGAGTGCTAGGTTACAGGAAATTGCATTTTTATCCAGAGATTACAAATCCGCTCTTTGCCGATCAGGGATCAGCGCACCGATGATGGTAGTTAGGATCCACTGTCCGACCGGCATGGCTATCCAAACATTCTTTTCTTTTTTCGATTCTCCGCATAAATCCAGCAACATTCACCAAGGTCCCGTTGAAGCGAACAACATGAACATTTTAGCACTCTTTTCCAAGCTGACATCGTCTCTTGCCATTTTTAAACATCACTGGGAGAAAATGGAGATCAGGTTTTCCCTTTGCCATGGGAAAGTTTTAATTCCCCGGTCCCAGTTTTCCGCAACTCCTGGGCCTCTTATGCAGATCGGATGTCGTGAGAGGGAGCAGTGATTCTCCTGATTCTCCAGAGGCTGGGATTCCCTGCTCAATGCTCAGTGACACGCAGGGAGAGCTGGGTGCAGGCAGCACACGCGGAGCCTGGCTCGTGAGTCAGTCCCCTGCGCTATGCCCTGCAGCTCTGTGTCAGGAGGACCATGGAGGCTGGAGAGCTGCTCTGTGGGAGCCGAGAGGTGGTGCAATCTGCAAACGTAATCGCGCTCTGGGGGCCAGCAATTTGGAAACCAACACAATCCCAAATAAAAAAGGGAAAAATAACTTTACAGGAGGGTGGAAGGAGAGTGGCATGTTGGACCTTTGGTTCCGGGCCACAGCACCTTCTGCATGGAGTCTGTGTGTTTCCCCGGGGTCCATGTGGGTTTTCTCCGGTTAACTGAATTAATCTAGGCTAACTGGTGTTAATCAGGGCGTACCCCCACTGGCGCGGCAGGCTGAAGAGGTTATGGAGGAGGAGGGGGAGGGGGGAGGTTGTGGTTTTATTTTTCTCGCGGGGCCGAGCCCACAGAAGAAGAGAAAGGAGAGCGATCCCTCTCGCCGTGCGGAGAAATTCAGCGGGGGGATTAGGGACAGGAGCTGACTTCATGTTTCACCTTCATGCTCAATTATTTTGATAACAACCCGCTTTGATGTTGCTTCTGAATTCATCCCGAAGAGAATTCGGCTACAAAAGAATAGCGTTTCATTCCAGGGGCCCAGGGCTCAATTCCTCTCCCTGGTTTCATGTGTTTATTTGATTCTACTTAAAGGAACAGCCCTCCTTTCATCCGGTTTTGCCTTCGCTGAGAGAGCAGGTCCTGCCTGCTGTCCAGGCGCACACGCAGACGCACACGCCTGTGCCCCCCCACCCAGAGGCGCAGGGCTCTCGTTAGCGTCTCCCGTGGTGCCGCAACTCTCCAGAGATCCAAGGGCAGAGATCCAGAGATCCGCTGTTTCCTCAGAGCGGCCCGCCAGGTTGGCGATTTGGAGAGAGGCAGTGTGAGGCTGGGGGCTGCCCAGCTAATCTAAGCAAGAGGCACTGCGCCCGGACTCTGGGCGCTCTGCACAGCAACTTTATTAAATGACACCGCAGCACACCGGCCAAAAGGCAGGCTGGCCTGCAACTGTAGTGTGCACTTAAGACATAATAATATTTTCAATCGAATACGATATTTATTTGAGTCTTTTCAAAAAGATTTTTTTTTTATTACACAAAGCTATTAGCTTTGATATTTGGCCTTAGGTCTGGAGAGACCTAGTTCATCTATTTTACATGATTGACTTCGTACGACACTTAAAGTGCTGGGTTGGTACCTGGTGTGTGTTTGTCAGATGCTCTATAACCGGATGCACGTGTTTCTAGTGAACTATTCCAGGTACAAGCGTGCACTAGGCTGTTTTGTAAACACTGAAACCTCAGCAAGGGAGCATTTCGCACTGTAAGAGCCAAACAGCGTATCTCTCTCATTTTTGATCCGTGCTTTAACATGATGGGACGCGGTACACGCTCATGTCTGACGTGAGTGGATCGGACTCGCTGGACTCTCCCTGCTTCCTGCAGAGAGAGAGGCAAGATCGGACTGGCTCTACTCCTCCTCTTCCTCCACCTCCGAGGGGCTGCGTGAAAAAGAGCATTTACCAACAGAAAGAATAACAAAAGAAGGCTCTCTGCATGAAATAAGAACACGTTTAATTATATATCCTTGCATGTCCCACTTATAACAGACTTTGCATTATAATACTATTCATGTAGTGTATTATAATAATAGATGTCCCATGGTGTTTCCTGTTATGTTAGACACGAAACATTTGGACTTTTCCTGTCAAATGTAAATATTTTTTTCTCTCTCCCCCCCAGTTTTTGATTTAGTCCACAATACTCTCCGTGCCTGTTGGTAGATTGAGAAACGGAGGTTTAGAATACACTTGACTGGCTTCTGTCAGCGACCCACCAGCCTTGAAAAGCCACCCATGTGTGCAGACGCATCTTCTCCTGCGCTCGGGCGCGCCCCCGCGTCTGTGGTCAGACGGCAGCGCGCACAGGATAACTCGGTGCCTATTAACTCGAAGGGTGTTGATAGACCCCGACTTGATTCTGCACCGAGAGAAGCGACAGGGCCCTGTGGCTGCCCCCCTCTCTGCTGTTATTTCAAATCAGGGAGGAGTGAGCCTCGGTGCTTTTCCCCCACCTCTAATGTTTCTCAAACAGAGCTCGCAGGGAGCCAGTCATGTTTTTTCCCTTCCCCTTCCCACTCAAACGCGAAGCTCGGGGGCCAGACAGCGCTGTGTTACCAGCAAAGCCCGGAAACTAATTTCCTCGAAGAGACTCCCGAGATTCGTACTGAAATCTACATTGAGGACCTTGTCCTCTTCAAGTTCTACGGATCGCCCGAGCAAAAAAAAAAAAACGGAACACATTTTGTTTTCTATGCCAAGATGTATCTGCAAATGAGTTGGGTGAAATACTACGTTCGGTTTTAAGGTTGCATGCATTAGTAGAAAGGAAAACGAAGCTTCCACTGGCCGGTTATCAAACTTTATTGGGACAAATAAAGAAAAAAAAACACAGTTGAACAGAGGACGGCACCGTGTGGACGCGTCCTCTTGACTTGTGCTCCACGCTACCCTTGTCCACACACCACAGCACTTCCGCTTGGGTCAGAGGTCAACTAAAGCTTTTCTGATGCTACAAAAAAATATCACTGTAAAAAAATAAACCTGCGTATTAACATAAATACAAAAATGCCGCATGGCAAAATGTCAACTCAGGTTACTCAATTTGAAATTAGCACACATTAAATACACATGGTTTCACAGTTGTGTCGGGGATTTCTGTATATAAGATAATAGTTTGGACATTAGCAACATAGAAAATGGGAACGTTAAATTTTACAGCACCTAGGGTTTCGTTGGTTTTCTGTGGTAATTGTTTTTTTTTTAATGTGCGGTATTACTTTTCTTTCAACTCCAAGCATTATAGCCGAGGTACCTGTTGTTGAAGCTCAGGTGAAATACTAACGGACTGCACAACTGTTTGTTTTTTTTGGTTTTAGAAGCAGGTCGGTTTGTTTTCGAAAGTCTCCTCACTCTCTTTCTCTGTGAAGATGCTGCTGTAATTAGCGTCTGAATTTGCCTATGTTCTCTCTCAGGATTGTACCGTCTACGAAACGGAAAACAAGATTCTTCATGTGGTAAGTTGCTGTTCTGTCTATCACAAGATATATAACACATTTTCTCGTCATGAATGGTATGAAGTTGATTTAACTTGTTTGTTTAGCGGTGCCGTCCAAACAGCTTTCTGAAATATTCCTTGCTGTAAATTTTTATTCACCCCGGATTTTGTTTGTTTTTTTTAATAACTGTAGCAGGATTTGATTGTCAATGAAGTCTGAGCATTAGCAGGTTATAATGTATTATTATTAGTGCAAAATCCGAGGTTCTGTTTAAGGTTGCAGGCATTTATAAAAAGGGAAACAGAGCTTTTACTAGCCGATGATCAAACTTCATTGGGAAAAGTAAAGAAAAAAAAATTGTGCCGTTCTCTCCTCTACCTGTTCACATACAGTACAACAACACTTCCGGCTAGGTCAGAGGTCAACTAAAACTTTTCTCCTACTGAGCAAAATACCGCAATAAAAACAAACCCCATGCAGTAGCCTGTTGCACGCAATCAATTTGCACAGCTCTATTAATTTATTGAGAAGCGAGCTCCTCGGTGCTTCCAGTCCCAAGCGGAACACTCATTTCTTCTCGTCATCAAAGCTCTCTGGCTAATGAGAAGAAATAAAAAGCAAAGTGTCTTAATGGAAAGTAAAATTCCATCTCAGCCCCGTGCTACACATGCACGTAAAAAAAACAAACAACAGCAATCATGCGCTGCCCGTTATAAGGGGGTTCTAGAGAAAGGTGCCTTGCTCACCACCTCCTGCTGTTTCTGTCTCTGTGATGCAGTCCTTGTTTTTGCTCACCCTCTCTCCTCGGCGTGCCCACCTGATCCCCATCTCCCGCACAGAGAGAGGCCAGCTGAGACCTGACCCAGTTTACCGAACTGTCCCCCACCTCGCTGCGCCGGCACCCCAGCCCTGTGCCGCTCTGCGCCCGGGAATCTGAAGCGCGTTGGTCGGGGGCTAAACCTCGGAGCCATGCTGCTGGCCGTGGGGGGTGGGATCTCACATATGCCTCTTTCTTTAGGAGAACTTTGTGCTGGAGTGCCCTTCAGAGTTGCCTAAGAGCAGCATTGCTATTCCCCATTGGTAGAGAAAGGACCCTGTGGGAGCGTTAAACTGTTCGGCACTAAGATGACAGCTTTTAAAGGAGCTGTGTAAAAATGTAGTGTATTATAATTACTACATGCTGTGTGGCATTACATAAGTATCTGTGATGGTGTCTTTGTGCCACGCATTTTAAATTTTTCCAGCCGTTGCGCAAATCTGTTTCAAAAAATTCCCTGTGAAGCCCCCTAATCAGCGGAGGTTTTTTTTTTAATCCTTCGTGCACGTTCACGGAGAAGGGGGATTTCTTTTGTTTTTGCAAGCCGAGCCTAATAGCACTGACGATCGCCCTTCACGTCAGGCCACGCGTTCTCGATGTAACATTCGGCCTGGCCTTCGCGGGCCCGTTTGCCCAGGTGAGCGAGGAAGTGTGCCGGAACAAGAGGAAGGCACTTCTCCCAGTCGGCTGGGCTCTCACTGGCACCCGGAGCCTGATGCGATCTGCTCTCTGAAGCGCGCTGAATGGGGGTACATGGGATATTTATTAGAGCCCGGCTACGCGTTTCTTTAAAACTGCATTTTTAAGCTCTTCCGTTGGCAGTTGGTGTTCAATAATGCAAAACCGCGCTGCTGTTTCCCATCCCTCTGAGGAGTCCTGCCTGCAGCAGTCGGATGAAGAGTGGGAAGGACGGGGAATCGCAGGAGAGAGAGAGGGAGGGAGGGAGGGATAGTGAGACTCCCCAGGTCCCGTGATCCTTTCCCGGTGTGTCTGGTTTTCCCTGAGCTTTTGTTCCCTGCACGTACTGTATGGGAGACATCCACCCCTCTCTCCAGGATCAGCTAGACTATTGCTGACCATTACTGAAAGTAAGAGGGGTGACATCTCTGATAGGGTTAGTCCTACGATAAGTGATGAAATATCAGGTCAGATTTCCACATAATATCACACGGCACTCTTGTCACCCTGTTGCAAGAAGACTAAGAAAAGCACAGCAGTGGCATTTTTATCATCCCTTTCTAATGTGGGAAAGGCTGTTGCCTTTGCTGATAAACCACACTCATTGCAAGCGTCAGAAAATTGAGCTACTTCACAGATACACTCGGCGGGGGGAGCAGGGGCTGTATCCAGAGGTTTATCTTTTATTTGTTTTTATAGCTTGTGTTAAGAGTGTCTGAAGAGAATGGTTACAAATGAGAAGGGCCCATTCAGCCCACCGGTTAGGAACTAATTGATCCAAGATCCTCACCCTGTTGTTCCTTGAAGTAAGCCAGGGTATTGGCTTCAACATCATGCCTGGGTAGCTTGTGGCAGACTCCTGCAATCCTCTGGGTAAAGACATTCCAGCTGTTCTCAATGTCCAATGCACTTCTGTACATTTTCAGCCTCTGTCCTCTGCTTCGTGTGTCTCTGTTCATTCTGAAGACATCTGCTGGGTTAACTGTGCAGATGCCTTTGAGAAGGGTGATTCCTAGAGCGGCAATGTATTTTCTAGAACGTGGTGAATAAGATTACACACTCTATTTAAAATGGGGCCTTACAAGAAAGTTGCTTAACTCTTTACCTGTGTAGCTTCTGGCTCTGTGCACCATAATTTTCTCACTTTTAGAAGCATGCTGTATCGATTTAAACAACGTTCTGAAGAGTGTGGCAAATGAGCTCAGTGTTGCTGTAAGTCTCACCTTCTCTCCTTCCAGTGCAAGACCCTGTCTGGAATCTGTGACCACATCATCTCTCTCTCCTCCGATTCGCTCGTCTCGCAGTCTGCCCATCTGGAGGTGGTGCATCTGACCAATGTCATGCCCAGCGAAGGGCTGGTAAGAGCAACTGTCACAACTCGCTCCCCCAACAGACCCCAGCACCCATTCGCAGCAAGAAACGTGTGTCAGGCAGGGTACAGCCCGGATGGGACACCTGTTCATCACAATGCACGCAGGCACGCAGGCACGCCAGGGCCAGTCCATCACAGGAGACACACACACCCACCCACCTCTGGGACATGGATTTGATGTTTGTGTGGGGCATCTGTGTGTCTGGAGCCTGCATGTAATGTTCAATTTGTGGATTGGTTTTTCAGGGAAAGAATAATAGGACTTGGTACCATATACAATAATGAATAAATCATTATTATTATCATCATTAACAATCATCATGGCATGAAAGACTTGGTACCTAAACAAACTGTGTAAATCTAACAGTAATATAAAGAGTCTGCCTATTTGTGTGGGTTTTCATAGGGTGCTTCAGTTTCTGTCCTTGTCCCGGCGACAGGCACTTTAGGTTTTGTCGGCCTGAAGTGTCTCAATTGTCTCTCTCCCGAGAATGTGAAATATATTTGTCTGTTTACGCAGTGCTCATCCATGTCTGTTGATTACAAATTGGAAGATGCGTGTGTTGGAAGTATTGTGGAGAGCTGATTAAAATTTAAAATAAATGATTGATGTCTCGCACAGGGGGTTGGAATAAAATGTGGTCTGTTAAAGGAGTTGGGGAGAGCACTGAATGCTCACTTCCTGTCTTACCAGGGCTCATGCAGCACTGAATTTCTTCTTCCACATGGCTCATTCAGCCTGCTTGTTTTTCAGCTCTTGTATTAGAATGCACTCAGGGATAGTCATGGTTGGCCATCGCCTTGCTGTGGGCCTGTGGTGACAAAGCCCCCAGTTGTCCTCTGCATTATGACCATAGATTTTGCACTCTGTAGGTATCCCTCCGGGTTGATCTAAATGCTAAGTAAGTAAATGAAAATATCTGGTGGTTGCGTGGGTGTGCTTTTCCCAGGTGACAAGTTCATCATGCTGACCATGACCACTAAGTTTGGACAAAGAACCATCGCAGTCCAATAAGGCAATTTGCTAATGTCATTCATTTTTAAATAACACTACAACTATAGCATATGACCAGCTGTTTTGCCATGCTGATGCCCATGCTTTTTCTCCTCGCCTGACCAGGGGATGTACATCAAGTCGACCTATGATGGTCTCCACGTCATCACGGGGACGACGGAGAATGTAAGTCTCTGCTTATCGACGTTTTGTGGTGGGAATCTCTCTTTTTTTTTTTTTTTTTTTTAGAACAACAAGCTGGCAAGTTCTATCTCTAAGCTTAACCCTGAGTCTTCGGTGGAGTCATAGCCCAGAAGGTTAGGTTTAGGGATAGGTAGATGAGTAGAGGGCCCGGATCAAGGCTTAAGGACAAGCGATGTTGTTCAAATTAGGGTTTTAGAGTGAAGGCTAGGGCTGCACTTAGTGTTATACATTTCGTATTGTAATAATACAAACTAGGGATTTAGGTGTCTGAAGAGACTTGTGTGGTTTAAGTAAAATGTTGTGCAAAACTGTTTTTTAAGCTTTTAGAGATGTAGGTCAGGATTTACACAATGTTATGTAGAGTCCTTCCTGGGTCTGTTTGTCCTGTTTGAGAATCAGACTTTCAAGTGTCTTGTTTAAGTCAGATTCTTGTTTTGCATGCTAGACAAACTGCGCTGAAACCCGGTTGTCTCACCTGCCAGCTGGGCAGGTCTATTCCCTCTGACCCTTCCCTTTTCATTAGAGTTTCGTAGTTGTGCCGTTTTCTTGCAGCTCCTTCTCTGCTAGCCGCAGGATCAGCCTGTGTGGAAGTACATTCGGCGTGCTCTTGCAGAGCCCAGCCTGAGCCCCATGTCTCTCTCCTGTAAGGACAATGCACCTCTCAGTTCCCCTCTGGTGTTGGCAGACGACCTCTCATTGTATCACATTTTCACAGCCAGCGCTTCCTGCCAGTCTTTCAGTGTAGCCACGCATGTCGTGCTGGCTCATGAAAGGGCTGGTTTTGCCAGGAAACCTCTCCAGTTTTGTCTGAAGACTGCCATGCCGGGGATCTCCCTGCATTTTGCGCGTGGGCACCGATAGTAGCGCTGGCAGGTGTGCAGCACGCAGCAGCGACATTTAAAAGTGTCTGCCGGTGTGCCGCTGGTGCTCTCCTGTGCGTTAGGAAGGCTGGCCGTCCTGTCAGTAAGAGCAAGTTAATCTGTTAATCTGCAGTGCCAGTCTGTGTTCTGCCTTGCTCTTTCCTCGTCGGCAGCTTCAGAGACGATCCGACAAGCTAGAACACGCTATATACTGTAGCAGGCGGTTTCATAAGGAGAGAACGTGCCGACGTTAATAAATCAAGCACACAGCAATAAAACACTGAGAGGATCCAAACCAGTTAAAATGCAGTAAAAATGAGGATAGCATTGTAAAAGTTCTGTCTTTTTTTTTTTATAGTTAGGGAATCGTTATAATCAACTTTTTTTTTTTCTTAACAGCAGTGATCAGAAGGTGATGAGTTTGCCTCTATATCTTCTGATTTCTCCCAGTAAAGCACAGCCAGCACATCATTGCAGGCTGTGTTTTCCTCCACCCAGGCAACCTGGGTCTAGGGGTGAGGATGCTGCAGGGACGCAAGAGTGACTCCTGTTGCGTAGCACTTAGCTCCAGGATGCCACTGGAGATTTCAGGCATTTTAGGTGCGTGTAGATCAGCATCGATGGACACCCGGAGTTGAAATAACATGAAACGCTCTGGTATATGCTTGATACTCTGAATCATCCATATGTATTGCACAGCTCTCTGACTCCTACAAGGTCTGAAGTGAGTCCTTGCAGTGCTGGGCAGTGTGGTCCCAGCCAGCTTCCCTGGTTTGTAGGTAGCTTGAACACATGAAGCTCCTTGCTTCCCCCTTCCTCTTGTGGCAATTTGGTATTTTCTGACGAACGTGATGGACTGTACCTGGATCACTGACAGAAAAGAACCAAATCCCCCCCCCCCCCCTCCTCTCCATGCTGTCCACCTCTCCTTCACCATTGAGGGAACTCAGCTGCTGCTTCCCTGGTGATCCTGATTGGATGTGAAAGCGACTCCTGTTGCTATGCAACTCTGCCGTTACCTGGGAGACTGAACCCCTTGCAGTGACTGGGCAGAGGAGGCGAAGGGACGGAGAGAGGAAGAGTCGAAGGGAATGGGAAACGCAAGTGTGGCGGTGGTGGGGGGGTAGTTTGTGCCTGTACCACCAGGCACCTCTGTCCCTGAAGCCTCCTGCCAGAGGAGCTTGTCCTGTGGGGCAGGCCAGCGATGGGAGTCGCTCTCCGGCACCCACGGAGGCTGGAGCACACCAGGGGTGTGTCATCTCCAGCAGCGCGTGAGCAATGAGCCACCGACGGTGTGGAGATGCTTCCGGTGTCACGCGCTGGACAGGAAGGGCACAACTGGCTCCAACGTGTTGCAAGAACAGATCCCGACAGTCCCCAGTCCCCCCAGACCCCTGGACAGAAATGGAGGGGCATCAGAGATAAAGTATATGTGCATCCCAGCAAGACAAAACCTTGCCAAGAATTCAGTGTGGTGGTGGCGGCAAACTCATTGTCCAAGCATGTCGTGCCAAGACCAGGAGTCCTTTCTTATCTCAGTTCATAGCTGGATGCGGAGCCCTTTAAGTGGGGCAGTGCGCTGGCCCACCTCTCTCACTTTCGGATCCTTCCAGTTCTGCTTCGATATGCTGCCTCGCGAAGCCTCCTGCCCCATTTCCCAGGGCCAGCCCCAGTCCCCTTGCCCCTCCTGCTCTCTCTCCCTTTCCCGAGCTGGCTTGAAGGCCCTGCGGCCGTGCCATTCAGATCCCTGCAGCGACAATCTGTCCCTCTCTGTGTGCCTTTGCAAGCTCTGTATTGCTCTGTTTGGCTTTGGCCGGCACTGGGCCAAGAGGAAGCCTCTAAACTAGTTTTTTTTTTTTTTTTTTTTTGGTGAAGCATCCAATTAATCTTAAAACGGGGTCCCTTCTAATTGGTGGCTTTGTGGTTATTAAGCTCCAGGACTGCCACCAAGATTGCAGAGGAAGGTTGCCTAATTGCAGATGGTGGCGCTTTGTGTTTTCCCCTTCAATTAGATATTTTTCAAAGCTAGGAGAGCGGTTTGTTTGCTTTCTTCGGTTCTTTTTTTCTCCTTGCAGCATTTTATGGTCATGCAAGCTGAACTTTAGCCAGGAAAGCACTCCAGCATGTGGGTTTTCATGATTTAAACTTTTTTCGTGTGTGTGTGCAGTCTTCTGTCCTGTTTGTACTAGAGGCTGCCTTTTGAGTAGGTTTGCTTTCCTGTGAGGCTCTGTATTCACGCTGTGGATATCAGAGCGAAGAGTTATTTATGCAAGGCTGCCCCTGTGTGCTGTCGGTAGTCATGCAGTGTCCACTGGAGTGATACAGGAGGCTGTCAGCTCCTCTTAGCTTCTGCTTGGTTTGTACTGTGGCAAGTAACCTGGAAACCTCTGCTTCTGTACACCTCCAGAATAATAGCTTTCTCATTAGTCACAAGTAAAATGAACTGAGCTATTAGATGCACGGACATGTGCTGCCTCACTGTTGACTCTAGTCATTGGAGAGTGAGCAACCTTGCACCAGAAGTGCAGTTTGCAGCCCACGATAATTCTGTGCAAAGTTCATGAAGATCTGCTGCCTGCACCAGGTTCAGCCTCCATCCCTCCAATGAGCCTGCCAATTTTGAACGCTGTGGATCTCTCAGTAGTGAAGACTGCTGTGCATGCAGTGATTCCAGATCACCGCGTTCCAATGGGCTCTGAATACAAAAGCGAACGTCGGAACACGTGTCCTGGTAAAGAAATACGTCTGTCATGTGGTTCAGCTGCAGAGCACCAGACTATGTTACATATACCTTTTTCAGGTCCCTGATTAGTTTTTCTAAAGCTTCCTTAATATTTTAAATTCTTTTGAAAAAACATTTAAAAAAATCTAATTTAAAAAAAAGAGAAATTGGACTGGAGTTTTACATTTCATAAATTAGTAAAGCTGGAAATTTCTCCAGCTAATTTTACAACTGTCATTTTTTTATTTTTTCTGCACATCAGAAATAATTATGCAAAAGCCCCTGTGGTTACTGGCTCCAAGAATATAAAGGTTATATTCTTTATATAGGAAGGCCATTCGATCCCTTTAGCTCGTTTGGATGGTAGCTACTAATTGATCTGGGGGTCTCATCCAGTCATTTCTTAAAAGAAGCCAGGGAATCAGCTTCAGCAACATGGGTAGCTTGTTCCAGATTTCTATAACCCTTTGGGTAAAAAAACATCTCCTGTTCTGTGTTTTTAATGTGTTTGTTTCCACTTGTGTCCTCTGGTTCAATGTTTAACTTTTGATTCTATAGCAATAATTGGGTTGGCCTTGTTGATGCCTTTGTGGATTTTGAATACATGAATCAGGTCCCATCGTAGTCTTCTCTGTTCAACACTAAAAAAATACACAGTACAGTAGTTCTTTAAACATGTCAGTGTAGGTCATCCCTCTGAGTCCAGGAAATCATCTTTTTTTCCTCTGTGTTCTTGACTGATTCCATCACAGTTGCACCGTTTTGGTAACAGGGTTGCCAAGTTGTACGTCATATATTAGGAATAAAAAAAAGATAAAAAGACATTTTGCTACAAAGAAAGCAAGAGTCATTGGTTTACATTCTGCACCTTTAGCTTCATAACCCACCAGTCTGTAAATGCTTGTTAAATGACAGTGTTCTTTGTTATAAGAGGGAGGTTAGATGGACTATTCTGTGTGGTCTGCTTGGGCATTTCAAGGTTCCTTTGTATAGAGTGACCGCTAGGACATTCCCCCCTCTTTCATGCGTAGGTCTGTGGTCTGTCCAGTGTCCTGCGCCCTGCCTGTCTGACATGTCCTCCGTTTCTCTCTCTGCATGTCTGCAGTCCCCTGCTGACCAGTGCAAGAAGATTCATGCTGGGGACGAGGTTATCCAGGTCAATCATCAGACAGTGGTGAGTCTGCCTCCACACGCCCCCCCCATGCACCCCCGACTGCAAGATCTGGGTCTGGTCTGCTCTGCTTATTAACCACCCTTTTCCTGAGTTGTCACACCCGACACGCCCCCCAGGATCGCTTCACGGGTGCTTTAAGTCCTGATTCGATTGCGCGGGGCACCTTGTAGTATCTGTCCAAAAGACAATCAAGTTTTGCAAAGATAAAACAGCCCTTTCCCAGCCCTGGCTGAGAATTTCTTTTCTCCCCCTGAGGAACCAAGTGCCTGACCGCAGGTCCAGCAGCGGTGTGTCCTGCTGGAGGGACCCCAGCAAACTTGGGCTCAGCCGGAGGGCTGCATGCTGTAGTTCGTTACTTGTTCCGTGTCTCTTTTTCACGACTATGAGAAACAGATTCTTTTTTTTTTTTTAAATGATGCAAGACTGATGTAAGAGTCTGCACAAAAGGAAAAAAAAGTGTTGACTTAAAATAGTCTAAAGAAATGCTCAGCATGAATTACCCTTTTGTGTTTCATGGTTGCTATTAAATCTTTGAACAGCCACTGTAGAAATTTACACAGTACCACTGAGGGGTAAGTACCTTTTATTAAAAAAAGCTCTATGGAAAGAAATGATTTAGCGTTAGCTCTGAACACAAAACACATTTTCTCTGTCCTGCCTCAGCCCCTTTCTGCTGTTAAATGGCAGGTATTCTGAATGGGATGGAACCCATTATTGTCTTTCATTTCATGCTGGGTTGCTGTGTATACAGGTCTCTTCTGGTTTACAAAGAAGGAACTACGTGGTTGTGACCCTTGAGCCAGCTCGTTCAGAGTTACTATAAGGCAAACAAAAAACAATCTGTTGGGAGATGAAATTAGATGTCATTTTTTTGTAGCTGCTGCAGAGGATATGCTACACCAGGCACCTGCTCAGCACTGCACAGTCCACAGCTTTTCTGTCAGCGTTGTTAAAGAGTTTGTTGATGAGGAAGCTGTTTGTAAGCAAAGTGACAGAAGCGATCGCTGTATTGAAACAGAGTGAGTCTATCAAATATGCCTTGTGCCCAGCTCCTTTTAAGTGGGTTGTTTTAATTATGTTACAAAAGAAGGAACAAATATTTGCTTTGGTAATGAGTTGGACAGGTGGCTGGTTAGCTAGACAGATTTCTTGAACAATCTGTGTAACTTTGTGTAAATTTATTATAACTTCAAATATCTTTACATGGAAGCAGTTTTTAAATAGGTGTTTTTTTTTGTTGCGTGTCTGAGATGTCGTTTATATTTACTTGAGGATGGAGGGTTTTTAAAGGAATTATATTATTCTGTTATGATGAAAGCATGTTATTATATTGCATAGAAATAAATGTTAAGCCCAATGGTGCAATATGAATGGGAGTTACTGGGTAGTTGTTCCATGCTGGCTTGTGATGTGCTACTGCAAAGCCTGTAATCGCAAGCACACAAGCGCTAAGGTGTTGTGGTGCTCCTGCCTGTATGTACATTTTCATTGGACTCCCTAGAGGCTCGAAAGAATGGTTCCAATCTCAGCTGGACAGCCTTTAGCTCACCTTCTCTGTGTCCTGTAGCACAACTGCACGACACCTGCGGCTTCACTGGTGTTCAGGCCACTGGCTCTTTCAATGTCCCGGTCCGCTCCGAGAAGATTCAAAGGCGGATGAGCACTCTCGCTGTCCCACTGTCCCGGTGCCCTTGCGCGACGCCATAGCCTCCTGACAATAAGACACCCAGTACTATCGAGCCGGGTGAAAAGGCAGATCCGAAGGCAAATGGCCTTCTCGGACTTCAGGAGCCAAATTTTACAAATGTTATAGGAAGTGACACAAGAGCAACTGGCTGTGCTCCCGTCCAACAAATACTGGACATTTAAATTTCTCGTTGATGTTTTCTCATGAAATTGACCGTGCTAATAGCAAAGGTCGTTTTTCCAAAGCATGTAGAATCCCACTGTTGAACCAGTAGTACAGTGTTGTAATATGCTTGGGTGTACGGGAATTCCTCTTTCGTGCGTGATGGGTAAACAGCAGATGTTGACCTGACTTTATCAGATACCCAGATGCATTGGATACTGGGGCTGAAGTGGGAGGTGTCGGGACGGAATTTGCTAAGTTTTTTAGGGAGAGTTCTGCAAGGCTGGGGCTGGAGCAGCCGAAGGAGGCAGTGATGATGTAATTAAGAGCCTGGTGAGTTTGCAATTAACTCTCATTACAGTACATTCAAGAAAATGTCACTTCATGTAAACAAAACAAAACGTGTGATGAGTTTGTCTGGGGGAGGATAATAAATTACTTTTGTCATGTAAGATGTAGGATCCTTTCATCCTTACATCCTTACCTAGTTGCAAGCAGTGAGTAGAGACTCTTGGAAATCATGGAGAACAAAGGACTGATTTTTTCCATTGAAAGTTCTCTTTCGAAATTTTGTTTTTGTAACTCGCAGAGGGATGCAGTGTGTATGCAAAGTGCACATTTTTCATTCGTGAGTCATTTAAAATGATGCACGTCACTACATAGGCCACATGTCTGTTGTGAGTTTTTACTCATTTACTTTGCATGGTGCTAATTGCTTGGAATTAAATTACAGGTCTTGTAGCTCCCCTCCAGAAGAAAGTAATGCTATTTTACCTTGGGCCTTCCTTTGGAAATCGTGTTTCATTTGGTCCTGAAGCAGATGTATGTCGTCCACTAAATTCTGGTCTCATTGTCTGTGCTGAACATGTCACTCAGGCATGGTATCGCTTCTTGTAATGCACAAGGACACGTGGCTGTACACTACCTGTGCACAGACCATAGTTCTACAGTACGTACTGTATGTGAGTGTTTCTTAGAAAGGGAAAAATTATTGAAAACCTATGGTTTTGTGTTTTTTCGTTTCTGTGCTAATGTTAGCCTTTTAAGATTGTTGAATATTGCATTGCTTAGGTTTACTTATTTAAAGCTGCCAGGCATCTGACTGCTGCTGGTATTACAGTACAGTATATAGAGCTTGCTCTACAGAAGGCAGAAAAACATTTTTAGTGCCGGGGGTGCTTCTGCACATCATTAAAAAGGCTGTATATTGTGCTGCTGAGCTCGTGTCAACTCTCCATTTACTCCAGTTCTTGAGAATGGCCGCCCGCTCTGCCTGTGTGTCACTGTGATATTCATCCTCTCACTCCTTAATGCGCCAGGCACAGCATACTGCTGCTTCTGCTGGGTTTGCACCTCCCCCCGATGTCCTGACCTCTTCAATTGCACTGGCGCGGGGTCAATGAGTAGAGTAGAGGAGTTCATTGCCATACTGTATTTACACGTACACTGGAATTCTTATCCGCTCTGATCTCTCTGGACACACACAGTGCAGCAGGCAACACCACACAGTGTAGACATGATACATAATAACAACCAGAACAGCCAGTATGGAGTAGTGAAAGACTAAGCATGGTAGACCATGTGAAAAGTGTGTAGTGCAGACACGCACCGACTCTGAGGCATTGCAGTTACCTGTTAAGGATGTGTACTGGAGTAAGGTAGAATGGGATAATTAATTAGGTTAATAATAGGGTTAATAGGGTTAATTAAGAAGAAGGGTGCCACTTGTCTGCATGGGGGGGTTTGGGGGTTGGAGATAGGGTCTCTCACTGCCTGTGCTAATGCAGGGCTCAGTGGATCAGGTATCCCCGGAGAATAGCAATCAATCTCAAAGACTTAAATCGGCCATTGAGTTCGTTAGCTCCGAGCGGGTCCAGTGTCTTTAGCTCGGTCAGGACTCTCGGATACGCACGGTGGATTGCAATGAAATTTCAGTGTCTTCACAGAGAGAACCTGACATAACTGAGGAGTACCGCAGAGCAAAAAAGACCATTCTGTGCTGGATAATATAAAAAAACATCTTATCTTGGTTTCGTTGCCCTTTTTTATTCCACCTTCTGGATGAGATCCTCAGATCGATTAGTGGCTAACGACCGAATGAGCTAGATCGGCCGAACGGCTTCTCCTCTTTAGTGACCTTTATGTTCTTTCTGTCTTTTTTTTTTTCAGTTTTAGCTCAAAACTTAAATCAAATTTTAATCTCTTTCTCAGGGTACAACAGTCCTGGGCGCTTTGCCGCCCTGTAGCTCGGACTTGAAAACTGATCTATTTATCGATTGTTCTCTGCCGGAGCTGCCTCTCGACTCAACCCAGCCATGCTGAAGAACATGTGCAATCGATCAGCTCACTCTGGAGAGTCACTCAGACGCGCGTGTCCGCCCAGACATAGGGGCTCACTCGCCAGTTTCCAGGACACCCTTCTTCAATGAGTCCTTGATCCCAGCTGCCTCTCTCCCCTCAGACAATAAACAAATTAATTAACCACATAACAAAATGAATACGATTTGCTGAAGCAAAGGGAAAGGAGATGAAGACAGGGGAGGCACAGACACATAAATGAAACAAAGCAATAAGGAAAATGTACATTTTTGCAGGCTGTTTTGCAACAACCCTGTCTTCAGTATTTCATGGTGTGTGTGGTCAGGATTTCCGTTTTACGTCTCGTCTGAAGGACAACGCCTTTTTTTTATAGTATAGTGTCCCCATCACTGTTCCGGGGCATTAGGACCGAAACAGACCACACGATGAGCGCCCCCTACTGGCTCCACTATCACCACTTCTTGCAGCAACCTTAGGTTTTTCCCAGGAGGTCTCCCATCCAGGCACTGGCCAGGCTCACACCTGCTGGGCTTCAGTGGGCCGCCAGTGGTGGGTTGCAGGGCGATATGGCTGCTGGCTCAATAACGCAGATATTAATAATGAAAGCGCAGGCTCAAGACGCAAAGTATTCCACAATGCGTTCCCTGTCAGTGGCTTCTGATCAGGGCCAAGGGACGGTAGAAATGTAGCTCTGGCACACTCCTGGCCACTGTGCTGGCCGTGATGACGACACAGAGGGTTTTTTTCCCCTCTGAAGTGCGAAGCTAATGGATCCCCCTTCTTTATTATGAAGAGCCTGTGTTGATGTCGTATAAAAGCATGGGTGTCTCCGCGGCCCAGGAACAGTGCATTAGTGCAAGTGGGGCTGAGAGAATGAGGGGGATGGGGGATGTGGGTTGGGGGGGGGGGGGGGGGGGTTGATAGTCTGTATTGAATCCCACCTGCCCATTCGATCTAGCTTGCAGATAAAATTTCGAAACTGACAAAACATCTCCTCCGGGAAGATGACAGTGCTTTCGATGGGCTCCTCAGGGATTTCTCATCTTGTCTATACTGTAGCTTTGGGGAGGGCAGCACAGGATCTGATCTGTAACAATAAACTCATATAAATCAGACTCCCATTCGCAGAGCATTTGGAGCCGTTTCAGATTTTCATGATGTTCTCGGCTCTTGTACAGGCAATATTTGTTGTGGAGCAGAACAGCTTTTATAATGTGATCTGACTCAGATCTAGTCAACAAAAGGTAACAAATGTACAGTATCCACCATCTGTTGTTGTATTACTTACAAAAGCCCACAGCTCTCCAGACTCTCAGCATCTTGAACTGCTATGCGACTGGACTTGTTTCCACCCCTGGAAATCTCTGTTTTTCTTTTTCAGGAGCTATTAGACTCAAGAAGGCACTCATGGGCTGCACTCTTCAGGACCCTGAAACCGTGGTCGGTTTCAGACCTCACTGAGCTGATGTGTTATGTTTTGAATGGGATATGTCAGCAAGGGCTTTTAGCTGCTGTCAGGAGGGTTGTTTCCTCGAAACTATATTGGATACATATGAGTTTGTGTCTTAACTGGTGTCTGTTACTCGTGCAGACAATGTTTAAATGCTCTGCTGTTCATCTGTCAGCCGAGTTTTCTGGTCCCACTGGAATTATTTTATTGGATTTCACATTGATTGGATAATGCTCTTCCCAGTTCATATTTGGATGGATGAGTGGATGGATGTATAGACAGAGAGACAGGCGAGTTCTTCATATAGAGCTATCATTTATAACCACCTCCGTGAGCACTTAATACTTGCAGCATTTTTTTTCCCATTTTAAATGGATCCTTTATAAATTAGGGGACTTCATGCTAGACTGTGGCAGTCCAGGGACTTAAAAGTCCCTCAGTGCTGATGGGGGAGAAAAAAATAGAAGAGGCTCAGTATTAATTCTGTGGCTGGCTTACGCAGTTATATATCATACGAACTGGTGTCAGTACACTGGGTTTGTTCCTCATCACCTCCCATCCCCTGGTATCATGTGAGTGTAGTGATGAGCCACGCATCACTGGAGCAGCCCTGCAATCGAGCCCCCACTGTGCAGCACTGGGCCTTGTCCATAGAACCATGCTGACAGTAGGCGGGCATAGTGCGTCGTGTGAGCTGGGGTTCATGATGGCTGGCACGCCAGGAGTTCACAGTTCATACTGCAGTACTACACTCCTTTGGACAGCTTGGATCGCCTTCCCTCCTTCCTTTTAAGTTTGCGCTGGCTTCTGGCTCTGTCAATATTCAATCCATGTAATGTCTCTCCAAGTGGGGCCTGATCTGGATAGGGGCAGCATCTGTATCCAGCTCCACGTGCAGGATACGTTGTCGAGTCTGTAGCTGTGCTTTCTGTGTGAGCTCATGAGGGAGTCTTCACTGTGTGAATGTGAGGATTCAAGCACCTCTTGGCACCTATTGAATTGACACAGGTTCAGTACACAAGTGCAGAGCTTCATTTTTCACGTGTTCGGGCTGCGTTTTGAAAATACATTTCATTCCATTCATTTTGTCAGCAGTCTGCACTTAACAGGATGGACATGGGTTATGCTGTGCTTTAGTCCGTTGAAGATTTTTTTTTCCCAGGTATCTGATGAGATGAGTGTTCCTGTGTTTAACTTTGCTCTGCTGGTTAAATTACACAACTTAGGAGAGCAGCAAGAGACCTCTTCACCTGCTTTTGACATGTGCTTGGGATTGAATCAAAGTGTTTGAAGTCCCTACACTCTGCAGTAATTAGAAAACATATAAAAGTAGACAAACAAAAATACAGGAGGTAGATACAGATTTTCTTTTCAGAAACTCTCAAGAGTGCAGGAGCAGTGACAAAAAAAAAAATCTAATTAGGCTGATTTTAATTATTCTGCAAATAAAACCGCATTCATACATACATTATACAATCGAAAAAGTAACAACGCACCCATGCATAATTAATTTTGTCTTAGAAATAATCAGGACCTTGGGGGATTGCTCTCACTTCAGAAGGAGAGATTTTTCAGTCCTCAGTGGCCATCACTGCAGCAAGCACTCACACGTTATGCTGAACGGCCCTGATAATTGTTGGTTGTCCATCTATCCAGTGATGGCTTCGTGCTTGGATGACCAATAATTATTTCTGTGCAGAGGGCCATGGAGATGACTGTCATCAACGCGTTCTGCGTGGGGAAGTTGGGTCATTCCATTATGCTGGGAGATGCTCATCCTGACGTGACCTCTCTGTTGTTCCTTTTAAGGGGGCACGTCGTGACGCATTGGTGGTATTTAACACTGAGCCTCTTTCATAGATGGCAGATAGTTAGATATACAGCTCAGTCCTTTATAGTTTTTTTTTTCTTTTCGTATCCCGTACCTTCCAAGAGACTCACCCGTGTGAGGAACAAAAAAAAAAGAGGTTTCAGGAGCTGACTGGACGCAGAGGTGAAATGCTCTGTCACAGCTTCTTAGGAAGTTTCCATCGGCTGTCGTCAAGCGACTGATCTGTTTACAGCTGCTGTTTCACAAATCATCTCCCTTCCATCGACTTCCACGCCAAGCTGTCGCACCCTGGGACCGGTCGTGTCACATCAGACTGAACAGATGAACTCCCAGTCAGCAGGCCTCAGTGTGCATATATATATGTAGCTCTGTCTGCCTGCTTTGATGATGGAGCCTGGCACGTCTGACCCGGGTGATAGCTGATCAGCCTTTGAACTGCAGGGTCAGACTGGACACAAATACCCCCCACGGCTCTCCAAGATGTATTCTTAAGTTTTAAAAAGCCCCCACATCTCTCCTTCGGCTCCTCCAAGATGTTCTGCACAGCTGAACCCCTGATCCCGAGAGACAGAAATGCGCGTGCCTTTGTTTTTCCTCTCCCTTTGCCCTGTGTGGTTACGGTTTTTGCATTCACAAAGGCTCTGCAATGTGTTTTGTCCTGACCTCTCCACTGCCTGAAGAAAGAGGGGGTGTGCAAGAGGGAGCCGAATTATTGCAGCGAGTTAGAAAACCAGATCGTTGCTGAGTGCTTGGATGGCATCTGAGTCCATCATATTTAGTGCAGTCTGCAAGGGACAAAGGGCAGTCCTTGCATAGGCCTTGGCCTCTTCCTCCAGCAGAAAGATACAGGAAATGCGGTAGCTCTTCTGCAAAAGCTAAAAGACCAGATGACTAGAATATTTCAGTTCGTGCACATCTTATAATCAGGTGGCATCTGACTAGACAAGGCATACCTGCGGTAGTGAGGATAGTGTCAGTTAATCACAGCTGTTTGTCAATGTCTAAGCTGAGTGCCACTCTGCCTGGCGTCTGGGGCTGATGAGTTAACAATAGCTCTGCTTATGAGGTGTGCTTCATGCTGCTTGGCAAGTGAACTGTAGAGCAAATAACAAAATTGCTGCACCGTGCTTCAGTGCATTCGAACAGCAGTGCCAGACCTGTGCTGCAAAGGTGCATGAGTGTAAGATGACTGACCTCCGGTCTGAAATTCCTGTTAGTTGCAGAGACAAAACTGTTGTTTTTGGCCTTTTTCTTGGTGGCGAGATTCATTGCCATGTGTGGGGAGTAAAACCAGACTGGTGGCAACTGTTTATGGACTCGTTTATTAGCTGCTAAGGGTCGATTAATTGAAACAATCCGCTGTAGACTTTAAAATGCTGTTGGAATTTTGAGTGGCAAAAATGTTCATACAAACCTGGGGAAAACAATGCAGTTATACATCCTGCGGACTTTAAAATAGACCTTTTAGATGATGTCACTACAGCTTCGTCCCTAAGCGCCTGCTGGAGCTGAGTGCTTTCTCTCTGACTGTAACCTTGTTTGTCATTTCCTGTCTGCCATGTAGAGTGCTATCTCATTTCGCTTAGGTGGGTTTTGGTAAGCGGAGGCTGGGGCCAATTTGAAAAATTTGAAAATGGAAAAAGGTTCTCGATTTCTCAGTGGCAGCTGGAGACAAGACGGCGTTCTTGCCTTCCAGTAAAGATAATGAACAACTGAACCGAAATGCTTCCTCTTTGTTTGTGAGGTTCAGTGGCGGACGTCCTATAATCCCCCAGGTGGAGGGGGGCTCTGTGTGATCCTGAGTGTGACTGGGCTGAGTCTGTGTGTCTTTATACTTGTATTCACCTCGGTTTTAATTTCAGTGCTTTCAGTGCCCCAGCCATGAGGGGCACTGCACAGAATAAAGATAATTCGTATTATTGATTGGCAACCCAGCACCAGTGGCATAGTGGTTAGCAGATGTTTTTGCAAGCTGGAAAAGAAAAGCAGTCACATGGCACGGTGTAAACCAGAGTGTGGGGGCTGGGCGTGCCTGTGGCTCATAGTCAAGAGTTTCGCGTCCAGTGCGAACACCCCCTGATTGCACGCCACGCTCTGCATGCCGGAGGTGAATAGGAGTACAGTCTGTGTTTTTTGTGGCCTGTGTCTGTGCTCCCTAGGTGGGCTGGCAGCTGAAGAACCTGGTGAACGCCCTGAGAGAGGACCCTGGCGGAGTCATCCTCACGCTGAAGAAGAGACCGCAGAATACCTTGACCTCCGCCCCCGCCCTGCTCAAGAATGTGCGGTGGAAACCCCTCGCCCTGCAGGTAACCCCCCCCACTCCCTGATCCACCAAGCAACCCCCCCACCCAAAAAAAAAATGTATCCCCTATCCCACCTTCTTTCTCTGCGCTCCTTGTGAATGGCCACCAGCCTCTCCAGAGTGCAGGAACAAGATGCACGTTTCAGGTCCCTTCATGATTTCAGCGGCTCCTTTTTCCGGCTGGAATCCACCACTTAAACACTGCAGGCACACCCAGCTTTCAGAAGGGTAAAATTAAAACAGCAATAAAATGAATACAATTTACATCCAGGTTAATGGGCAGATATCAAGAACTAAACTCAATTTAATTCAATACACATGGCAATTTCTGCTAGCAGGCAAAATGTCTCATATAATGTAGTGAGCAGGACTGCCTGCAATATTGCAGAGAGAGTCTGGGAGATAATTGATATTTATTAAGTGCAGTGCAGGCTGAAACCATTATTTACAGCACTCATCTCTATTTTTCCGTTTGATCACTGAAGGCCAGTTGAAAAAATATGTCCATCTGCTTCTTTGCTCCAATTAATAAATCCTGAAGATTTTATGACTGGGAAGTAATCAGCTGTTCACTTCTGAAAACTTTCTGCCATTTTACCAATAGATAAATATGAAGTAGATTATCACTGACTGTCAAGATCTGCTTAAGCCATCCTTTACATACTGCCCAGATATTTTTGGTCTTCATCCTTTGAGTCTCTCCAGGGCTGAGATGTTGAGGTGTTTGTGAAAATTTGTACATGTATGTACTATATATAAAATATGTATGCATATAATTTATATGAACTATATGCAATGACAGGCATTGAATAATCCACCAAATGTAAGAAAAAACACATCACACATAGAACTAGTATTATATATATATACATTTTATTTGTGGCAGTATATTTCTTAATTGTGACAGACAGCCGTTTCATAAAAAGCATTCGAAAGTTAAACTTGGAATATCGGATTCACTTTCAAATACAGTACATGTTTGTACAGCGCAGTGTACCATATGATTTATGTTTCTTAAAAAAAAGATCTACGAGATAATGGAACCTAACGCGCTTAAGGTAAATCGTACAGGGCTTAGATGTGGGTCAGCTGGTCGTGCGTAATGTTACTTTCATCTCAAATATCGGCAGAGCAGCCAAGAAGGCAGGAGAAACCCCATCTCCCATCTCCCATCTTCATCCCACGCTGTCTGCCCGGTCGTGTTCCCTAATTTTCCGAAGTCTTCCTCCGCCAAGTAGTTCCTCCCTGCTGCATGTGAGGAAGAGCAAGGTTCTCCCAGCATGCCTTTCTCATGCCTGGCAGCATTGCGTCACGTCTTGCTCTCAGGCTGCTTAACCATAAGAGGAAGGGCAGCTGCTCTCAGGGTTTGTCTCCTTAAAACCGCAAACAGAAACGTCGGTAGGTACTGTGTGAGAAATGACGGATGACTTGGTCGATAATAAAAATGTGCTCATTGCATTCCGGATTCCCACGATTCATGCTGACAAAGTCAGTATTTGCAAGAGATGTGGGAAGAGAAACCCATCCAGAACCTTAGCTGGTTCTCGATGTATCCGAGAACCATGAAACTCGTTTCACTCGTCACTGCTGCCAGCATCGTCTTCTTCCTCGACCCAGGCCAGAGCTGGTGTGGATTTGCCTCATGCTTCGGCCAGACTCCTCCTAGGGAAGCTTTTTGTACAGCACGATTCTAAGCTCTGAGGCCTTTGGTCTTTGCAGTGCTTTGTCATTTTATTAATATTTTTCCAATTCATTCCTGATTAGCCATGGTGCTGTTTTTAGATGTTATTGAAATCACACCTAGGAGAAGTAAAAGTAAGTTGCTCTACCGGTTTTGGTGGTTAGCAGTAGTTCATCTGCCCTTCAGTACCGCTGATGAGCAATTTCATTTTGCAAGCCATAGAGGAAATCCTGTGTTGGGGCTCGTGCCCTGTGCTGACAGAGCCCGTTCTACTGGCTTGCTCATGGCGTGACTCAGCTACTCCACTGACGGTGATCTGATCGGCCCTGATCGCTGGAGGGCGTGGCATGATCAAGTGGGCTCCTCACCCCATCACTCCTCTGCCGCCTGCCACCCGCCACCCCCTGTCCTTCGAACCCATTCCCATCCCAGTCCTGAGCCACACTCTGGCACCCCTGGCTTCAGTCGGGTCAAAACACCTTAACAGGATTGTGTGTGAGAATGAGAGAGAGAATGTGTGCTCTTAAGCTGTACTTTTGGCCTTTGTTAACAAGCGGCATACAGTTTGGGAGAGGGGACCGAATCCTGGACTCACAATAAACCTTGTGAGATAACTCTCCTGCTTTGTCACGAGGCGATTGGGTTTTTTTTTCACGAGAGACAGGGGCAATAATAGCAGAGGTGTGTGTGTGTGGGGGGGGGTTCCCTAAAATCCTAAGCGCCCTGTTATCTCAACCCCCGAACCGCTGGAGCCGGGGGGGTGTAACGGGCTGGACACGAAGCAGTGGGCTGCGGTCCAGAGGATTGTGGGAGGTGGGGCAGGGTTGAATCTCTGCTGAAGGGAGCTGTGTGGTTTGCCGTTCGGGGAGCCCTCGATTGCACAGCTGCGTCTATTTTTAGTAGTGTATTAAGGCTAATTCATTTTCATGCGGCACGCCTGCCTGCCTTGATGTGGCAAAGCACTCTCTTGTTCCATTTCTGAAGCATCAACAGAAAAATCCATATGCGCACAGAATATTAAGTGCATGCCTTACACAGTGCCTGAGCTGTTGTGTGCATACCCATAGACTTCGGTACAGAAAAAAAAAACATGGACTGCATTGCTTTTGCATAGTTGTATTTGCATTTACAGCTGTATGCATTAGTCACATCTTGTATTGAGTAATGTGTATGCGTATTTGGATGATAAGTGATGGCTTCTTTTTATTATGCGTTCAGCTTTTTCATGGTTCATCTGGTGTGTATTGTGTGTCTGTACACACAGCATCCTGATGTTGACTTGCTCTGTACTAGTGCTGTGTACTTTAATATTTTCCTCAATACCCAGTACTTAGTGAATGAGGACTGTAAAAAAAGAAAAAACAGTAAAATGCAAAGGAAGAAGCTGCCATCTGTTCTCTGTTCTTTACACTGGCAAAGCAATCGCAGGTGCCAAACCTCCCCCTTTTACCTTTCCAGGATTTGGATCTGAATGAGACGATGAAAGGTTCCCAGACTGTTACAACAGCCAAGTAAAAAATCTCGATATATTTGTTTCCATTTTTTTTAAGTGTGTGTGTAGCTGGAGCTGGTGATGTTAAAACTAGTAACGGTGTTGCTGAGAATTTTGTTAATTTGATTAAATCAGTAGCCTCTTTTAAATACTGGCTTTTGTAAATATTTGCCTTGGTATATTACCTTTTTTCCTCATGTTGCTGGCCCAAGTAAACACACAGAAAGTCTGAAACTGCCCACTGTCCAATCTCTCCTTTGGTGGCGTGGGGGGTTTTAAGTGTGAAGATTGTGACAGATAAGAGTTTCAGTACTGAAGGTACAAAAACCACAACTCACATGTGCTTCATTCTGTTGGGGTACATGGGCGGTCTTTGGGCTGTGTGTGTCTCACATTGGATCAATTCAGTAGCGAAGGCGTTTGTCTGCCAAATGCAAATTGCACAGTTGGGAAACCTTGGGGAAAGACTCTGGTTGTCCCCTCTGTCTCATATACAGCTGTGACGATATCTCTGTGGTGAAGAGACATTTGTCCAAGCTCCGATGAAAGCCATCTGAATGCACAGGCATGCATGTTGTCTGTTTTTGCACGAGTAAATAGCCTTTCGCATTTTTTATTTGTTTTTTACTTGTAATTAGCTGGGCCAGGAATGAGGAGCGTTTTGAAACAGAGCCACGTCAGATTTCGGGAACTGCAGTTTCTGAATTGGCAGATGTTTCGGAAGCACAAAGTGTGAAGCTGTTTTCGTTCAAGACTTTTCTTTTTTTTTTAAATGAAAGAGGGTCTGGTAATTAATGTAGAAACAATGACACTGTACATGTACGTCTGTAGCAGTCTGGATGTCTGAAGAACTCCTGACTCGGTAGGTTTTGTTTTGGTGGCTGATGCTCTGAGTACTTTCTAATTTTGATGTAAGTCTGCGAGCTGTTGCAGGGGCCTCTGGGTCTTTGAAAGGGGACCGATTTCGTTTTGAAGCCGGTTTTGGTTTTCGTTTCACGAAAACCCCCCCAAAGAAAAAGATGGGCAAAATGGCCCCTCCCGGGAAAAAACCGAAGGTTTTTTTGCTTCGCTTTGCTCATGTACCCAAGCGTGTTGACTGCATCTTGTACCTCCTGCATCTCTGCTGCTGCAGAAGGAGGCGTTGGTCCAACAAGACGCGAAGGGTGTCTTTATCTCCCGCCCTGGTCTTTCAGAAGCTCAGCTTACAGAGCTGCAGGGCTGAGGAAAGTGGGAGCCCTGGTGTTGAGTGGGAGAGGAGCCCCCCCACAGTGCAGAGCAGAAAGTGAACACCCAAAGCCAGAGCAGAACTGAAAGATGGGAGATTGCGCACATCACAGCCCGGAGTCACATCGCGAGGAAATACCTGGAGTATCGCTCGAGTTCCCTTTGTCTTTTTTTCTAAATGCTGTTTTATCTCAATAAAATTACTATCCTGCCAGCTCTTTGTTCCCGAGCTCCTCTCAGTTGCGTTCAGCGTGTAATCTTGCTGTCAGAGCTGCTTGCCTACTGTCAGGGCTGAGGAGGCGACAAAGACAGGAAGGCGGCTGTGATAATTAGCAAATTACTGTTTTCACTCATTAGATGTCATAATTCTGGGAGGCTGGGAGCACTTTCTTCTCTCTCTCTTTTTCATTTGCTGCAAGCCCCTCACTGGATTAAGGACACAGGCAAAAAGTGTGTCAGAGGCAATTATTGGGGCAAATAATGATACCTGGACAGCAGTTGAAAGGTCATGGGGGTCTAAAGTGGGTATTTTGAGGTTTCAAAACAGCTGACCCCATTCTTTTCCCTTTTCTGTGGAATGAGCGTCATCAAATAGAAGGTATCCACCACACAGAGTCCGCACAGGTCTTTCTAAGCTGTTCCATTTGCTTTGTGATGAGCAGCGTTTTTCGTCAGTACCAGGGAGCCACAGTGCAGCCAACTTCAGCTCAGCTGTTCCTTGGGCTGGGAACTGAGTCTTAAACTGGTTGCACAGTCTCTTTACAGGTTAGATTAATCCCAAGACTGGCCCAAGACCGGGCAAGCTGAGCACCAGCCTGTTTTTGGTTGTTTTTCAGAGCACCACAGTGTTTTTCACCTGTCAGCACAGTGAAAGGAGAAGCGTGTTTAGGTATGAGATCAACCCCAATTCTTAGGATATTGCCAATTAGGCACACTAGATCTTCGCACCTTTACGCATGACACCACTGTTATTCATTCCTGGTGCTGGAGGTCTGGGTTTCTTCCCGGTTTCATTCTACCCTGAGTCCCTAATGACCTTTCTAGATTCAGTTGTGCGCTTAACTGTTTCCATGTTTGGACTCGTTAAGGCTTGCAAATGGCTTGCAAAAACCTGGTGGACTGCAGCCCCCCAGGAGGGAGGGCTGAACATCAAAGGCATATAGTGCATTTAAAACCCGGGACGGGAAGCAGAGGGCTGTGGGAATGTGTAACAAGCTATGCAGCCGTGTGGCTGAAGCTGAGGCCCTGGCATCCTTCAAGAAACAGCTGCCCGAGGTGCTTGGATCAATGAGCTAGCTGGGCCGGATGACCTCACCTGAAAGTTAACTGTGCATCCTATGTTCTGAAACGGTTAGAGCTGGTGCAGAATGAGTGACTTTAAGTAGGCAAGAGACCCATAGCACCGCACTTCTATAACATCAGTAATTCTCTCTCGCTTTTCAGCTGCTCAGGAACAAATTATCCATCTCTTTCGAACAACTGGTACTCCATTTAAAAAATACCCAGTGTACAAAATAAAAGGTGGAGGGGGCACTCATAGAAAGCAAATCGAAATTTGCACGTTGCTTTTTACTGAACACACATTTCTGTTGCAGCGCCCACAACCAGAGGGCTATAAAACATTATCAAACAGAATGAAGAGTTCAACATGAAGATGAATGCATTTTATTGTCTTTTTTATTACATTTTAATGTCTTTAATATCTTTGTCTGATTCCCACATGGTCTCCAGACCCATGGATGCAAGTGCAGTATACCAGCTGAACATCAGGCCCTGAAACAAATTCCTTACACTTATACAGCGCTTTTCTGGACACTCCACTCAAAGCGCTTCACAGGTCATGGGGATCCCCTCCACCACCACCAGTGTGCAGCCCCACCTGGGTGATGCGACAGCAGCCAGAGTACGTCAGTACACTCCCCACACACCAGCTCTCAGTGGGGAGGAGAGCAGAGTGATGAAGCCAGTTCAGAGATGGGGGTTATTAGGAGGCCGTGATTGGTAAAGGCCAGGGGGAAATGTGGCCAGGACACCGGGGTAACACCCCTACTCTTTTCGAGAAACCCCCTGGAACTTTAATGACTACAGAGAGTCAGGCCCTCGGTTTTACGTCACATCCAAAGCACGGCCCCTTTTTACAGTATAGTGTGCCAGCCACTATACTGGGGGATTATGACCCACACAGACTGCAGGGTGAGCGCCCCCTGCTGGCCCCACTATCACCTCTTCCAGCAGCAGCCTTAGCTTTTCCAGGAGGTCTCCCATCCAGGTATTGGCCAGGCTCTGTAGCTGCTGGCAGTATAGGGTTTAATAGGGGTTTTCATTCTTCCAGCGCTGTTAGAAGTACCACAGGTATGTTTTTATTCTTTCTTCCTCTGATCTGGTCCTGGAGCTCTTCATTCAGTTTTATATACAAACAATGTGCCTTTAGGTTTCACTGTGGCAGTCATTACCCAGTGTGGCTGGTTTAAAAGGATTCTTTTAGCTTAAAAAAAATGTCAGAACCCCCATTTTGGCTAATGTAACATCCCCAGAGACAGCGATAATTGATCTGAGTTAAGTCATTAAGAGCGATACAGAAGCTGGGAAGGCCCGAGACTCTCTGGGGTACAAGGGAACATTCCTGCTCTAAAATGCTTTCTTCTGCTTTTCCTGGTCAGCATGTGGTGCGAGGTTCAGTCATCACCTTTCTAATGTGCACAATAAAGGTGCACCAAAAGCTGCAGACTGTAATACTCATTAGAAGGACTTGAGATGTAACACGGTCTTGGTCTCTGTGAAGTTGCTTCAGTCAGAAGGGGATTCTTGACGATCTCTGATTCTCTTTGGTTGCTAGGGAGGCTGGTTAACAGTACCCCCTCCCCCCCCAACTGTTGTCACTATGAGACCTCGGTGAAGTGTTTCCTTGTTGCTAAGGACCTGTGCTTAGATGCTGAGAGAAGATGCCACGTTAGATAAATACAATGTTGCAGGAGGGAAGCAGGCTGTGCATCAGGTTGTGGGGTGGGGGGAGGCTAGGAGCCCCCAAAGTAAGGTGTACCCCTGTCTTAAGGAAACTGGCATTGATTTATGAACAGCGCTAAATGTTATTCTGAGCTCAGATGGAAACTTGGATGTTCGCTGTCCATTTGAGTTTAGCTACTGCTTTTGCTGAAATAGAGCAATGCACTGATGTTTCTGGTAATTCCCGATAAAGACAATTTCATTTTTTTTAACAGTTAATCATCTTTTGAAACCCTCAGGAGGATGCAAATTCATAGAATAATAATAATAATAATAATCCAGTTTCTGTTGCATAACAGTTGGATCCATCCGTTTCAGGTTCACTTTGCAGTGATGAAGCAGGAACATGTGATTTGCATGAGGTGAATAAAATCAGACTGATTAACCCTAAAATGTCAGCGCCAGGTTGTGACCTGTAGTACGCTACTGTATATACATGACCCTGAGGTCATTGAATGTGAGCTGCTATGCAAAGGATCATCCCTGGAAAGGGTCACGCTCTGTTGGCCAGTGTCCCTGATGGCCTGACCAGTCACACTCTCATGGACACACATCCTGCGCATTTTTTTTTTTTCATTTTTGGTGGAGCAGGATGCTGTGCAACGCCCTAACCCGTTGGGCTCCATGTCTCCACAGCCCATTCCAACCAGCCCCACCAGCAACTCCACCACACCAACCAGTACCATGGGCCTGTCTTCCAAGATGGACAGTTCCAACATGCACGATGTCTTCATCCTGTCGCCCGTCTCTGGACTCTATGGACCCAGGTAATGACCCGCTGATGACCACAGCACTGGTGCATCCCCCAGTCACTGGTTCACACATTATGCTTGTGCATCTGTTGATCAATCCACCAGGTTCTATCCATCAGCATTTGCTCATCAATTTCTCAAGGCTTGGGGCCATGCTTTTATTAAAGATCATTCATACCAAAAATCTAAAAACTCCTCCTTTTCACCCTCAGACACCAGAGTTCCACTTATCAAACATCTTGCTCAACTTGTCAGTAACTTTCAGGGTTTTGCCCAGTCTTTAGAAGCAGTTCCTATAGGATGACCAGTAGCAGTTACCGGATTAAGGCTCTGCAGGCCCAGGGCTGGAGATTCCTGGTTAAATTGACCTCATACCTCCGAGGATCATGGGTGTGTCTCCCCTTGAAGCACACGTTAAAACTGTGTCTGTTGTCCTCCCCCTCCTGTCACACGCGTGCAGGGACGAGATGGGCATCATGTCCTGCGATGACATCAGCAAGTACAACATGGGGAAGTCGGGCATGAAAGGCTCCGAGTCCCCCAGCTACTTCCTGGACCACGAGAGTGGGAAGTACTACACGCTGATGGAAGGGGAGGGGGTGCCCCTGGGCCCCGAGTACGAGAGGGGCCGCTCGACCGGGGTGCGCCGGAGAGAGAAGACGCCCACGCACGGTGAGTCCGGACGCCAGCCTGCACCGCCGTCCACCACTGCCCTCGGCAGCGCCGCCTTTTCATCCCGCCCCTTCTTAAACACGTCTGGCGTCGGCGTGGGTTAGTGCGTGAGCGGGTGGTGCCCCTGAAAAATCTCGGCACTGCACCCCATTCGCACGGGGGTCCCCCCACTGCAGCACGACGATCGCTTCTCCGGGAAGCAAAATTCCAAGTATACGTTATTATGGAAGTATAGTAAAAAACCCTTCGTTTTGAACAGACAGGAAGCTCTTCCTCGTGTCTGCGTGCTCTGAGCACATGGTCAGTTAGCACTCTCCTTCCCTTCCTTTAACGCGGAATGGAGTAAATGGACATCGCACACTGTTGGGCCCAGTCCTGGCATGCTTACTGTCCTCGAAAGATGAATAAAGGGCGTGTTGGTTTCCTCCCCTGGCTGGGGATGGACTTCCTCCTGGAGTGAACGAGCCTGCTGGTGGAGATAAAGCACTGGCCACTGAAGCCAGAGCATTTTCCACAGTAACAGTCTGCCAGGGAATTAGTGGTGGAAGGATTCCAGTGCAGTAATTGCTTCGGCTTTGCTTATCTGATCTGTGGGAAGCATGTTGTGCAGCAGAACAGACCCCCCCCCCGGCACCCTCCCTCTGTTCTTACATGGCGGCTGATGTGCTCCTCGGGCTTCTTTCCAGGTGACCTAAGGCCGGTTTCCATGCCAACGGAGTACAGCTGGATGGGTGAGACCAAGGAGCCCAACATGTACAAGAGGGGGAGCAGAGGTGGGTTCCCCGTTAACAGAGGTGGTACGATCCAAAAGCCATTGGCTTCAGAGGACGAGCTTCCATTAAAGATGTATTTTTCCACTGTTGTATTTACGCTGTGGGAAATAACTTTCTCAAGTCAAGTGGAGACAATTCAGCATAACCATGTAAAGGAGAAATGTTTAATTCTGAGAGGTGTCAGCTGACTCATTTGCAATGGTGATCACATTTTTTTTTGCGTATTCCTTCAGTTACAGTCCAGGTCTCTGTGGTGTGACCATTTGTCTGCAGAACAATGTTCTTGGGTCTGGCATGCTTTTGAAATAGAAATAAACTTTCTGTTACGTGCTGATTGTAGTGCTTTGAGCTGAACAGCTGAACCACAGGCCTAAAGAGAATTAATCAGCTTTCCTTCAGTATTGTGAAGCAGCTCGGACTACCTGGCTAACAATTTCTAATGCCCCAGTCATAACACTAAAATATTTGTTTAAAAAATGGCCCAGCCTCTCGAGAGAGTGGGTATCCTCCTGCCATTATCAAATGCGTGCTGTGGTGAGCAGTTCAGCTGCTGAGTCTCCTGCTATGTTGATTCCTCTTCTGAGCCTTTCCTGTGCTGGGAGTAGAGAAGCAAGGGCTGTCTAACTGGCAGAGACTGCTGCAGGTGCTCCCAAAACCCTTTCCTTGTCTTTGGGGGACTTCTATGTCCACTGCTGGGACATTGTTGAAATTACAGCAGCTTTTGCACCCTCAGCTTGGTCAAAAGTAGTCCAAAACGCAAGGTTCATGACCTGTGAATGGTGAAGCGAATTTGTGCACAGGGATCGGAATTGCTGCTGCTCTGAAACCCTGTTCCAGCAGTGCCTGTGTTTGCTGAGAAGCGCGTGTCTGTAGGGATTTGAATGTTCAGTAGGTGTGATGCAAAGAGGCAAAGAGAGAAAGATTGATCAGCCAGTGTCTCAGAAAAGCATCCATCAACCTGCTTGTCATCAGTCTCCGGCTCCCCCCTCGGTTGTAATATCTAGCCTATCTGTCTACTGAGTGACACTGAGCTGAAACAGACAGAGTGCATTAATCAGAAAGAGGAGAGGGAGCACCTGCTCGAAAATCGGGGGAAATTTCAGAGATGAATTAAATGCTTTGACTGTACACAAGACTACAAGTCACACATTGGAAAGATACTGTAGGGAGACGGAGACGGCAGAAGAGAGAGAGAAATGTAGACAATTCACTAAATATTTCAGTGCGATTTTATTCTGAGTTGTTTTTTTTAGTCACCCTCTTAACTTTCCTGATTGTGATAGATAGATATAGATAGATATTTTAGGATGTAGACCAATGAGGAACCAGGAATTGACACGGAAAAGAAATGCAGCGTGACTCTTCCCCAGTTCCGCAAGATTATGAAGCACAAATATCTTGCTCAAAGGAGCTTGGGAATTCTGGCGATAGTGACGTCAAAGCATCTTGGCACAGCTGTTCACTCGGCTTTTTCCGATGAATTCCTCTTCAGGTCCTGCTGAGGCTCTGGGTTTCTGTCCTGCAGATCACACCAGCATCGATTCTGGGAAGGAATATCTCCCCTGTTATCTCAGCCTCTGGTGTTTTTCTTCAAGCCGTTTCAGAAATTGCTCACACAAGCGAAGCGGTCTAAAAATAGTCCCTCGAAATCTATATTTAATGTTTTTCTAGCTCCCCACTTTTAACCACTTCCTGGCAGGCCTGCGTGGGTTTCTTTCCGCGGCATGCTTGTGCAGAGACACACAAGACGGCCTCACCCTCACGGGCTCAGCCAGCGTGTCACAATCGCCTCACACCATCTACACACCCGCCTCTCTAACGGGGCGATGCAAATGAGCCCGGACCTGCTCCACTGCTGTGGGGTTATTGTCATCGGCCTGCAGGAGTCTGACACAAACCCCAGTAGGGGGAATCCCCAGTAAAGATGAATGCCACATACACTAAATCCGACAAAAATTGATCTTTTTTCGAGTGTTGTCGGTCTTCTTCTTGATATCCAACCTTATTGGCAGTTACTGCTTTTATCCTGGCTAAACGTGATCAGGGTACGTTTTTTTCCCATTATGGGCTTTTTGCAGTGTTCAGACCCACGTTGGACTGGAATCCTTTCCTTGGTTCCTGCTCATATTCTGTTTCATGTTGTGTGGCACTGACGACACAACTGCGAGTAAATTCGAGAATTGTTGAACTGCACGCCCCCAGTGCAGCTGATGCTCCCTTCACCCACTGGTACACACCCTCCCCACGACACAACGGCGTGCAATCTGCTGCACAAGCACACAGCTGTGCAGCTCATCTTTGCACTCCTGCCTTTGGGCAGCGGGAGAGAGGGGAGGCCTCCATTGACTCTCATTCTATTTTGGGATTTATTTCTTATTTATACTTATTTCCTGTGCTACGCTCCGCCAAAAATGAAAAAGCACACAGGTGTGTGCCAAAAATATTAATTAAATATTTGAAGTACATGGGTTTAGAAAAAATTATGTTCTTTCATTTTTTTTTAAATAGTCTTCATCATTGTAGTTACCTCTTCGGCACATGTGCTGCTCCACAAGCAACTGGACACACACACACGTTGAACATGACAAATTCATAGATGGATTCATGATTCATTGTTTGCTTCGCTTTTTGTCCCTCATGCTTATTTATTAGATGTATCCTGTGTTCACTAAACTAAATATAAATAATTAAATCCACGTTTTTTGACATCTTGCCTGGCAGTCGTGCTTGCTGTATAGCAGTACTTAGTCAGTCAAGGTGCCCCAGAGATCAGAGTTCGTATACAGTGTGTGAGCAAAATACAGCACCTGATCAGGCATCAGTGGATAGTACATTCATTTGGAATTTGATGGTATATTAGTTTCAGGATGACTAGTGGGTTTCCAGTATTTTTTGCAGGTTAAGGGGAAGGGTTCTTAGTTGCTTTCTTCTCTTTATACATCCTAGTTTCTGGCAGTAAAAGTAAAACCAGGAAACCGCACAGTTACAAAATAGCACCCCAGTGGCATATGATACCCTAGATAACACAGGATGTGTTTTTATATGTGCACAAGGGTGCTAATTATTTAATCAATTAAACACACCTCTGTAACGTTTCCTAATAACCAGTATTTATCATTCTAGAGCAGATAGCATGTGAGAAGCCAAAAGGTTGTTGTTATAATTGTACGAATGTAGCCACCGCATCCCGAGACGATACACACACATTCACAGAGTCCTCCGCTCTGAAAGCTTTCCTCCACTGCAGAGCCCCCTGATTTGTATTCAGTTGGCACAAGCATATCGGCAGCGGAGAGCCATCGTGAAAAGCCCATGAATAGCATTAAAGAAAGTGATTCCTGTTGGATGTGTGGGGGCGATTGCGCCGCACTCCCACGCACAGGAGCTAAATATAGAGGCCGCCCACCTAAGAGGGAGCAGCGCTGGTCTCTGCCGGCAGCCATGCTCTCCCCTCGACGGCCCCGGGCAGCTGCCCGCAGCGAGAGAGACGGCCAGTGTTTTCAGCCTTGCGCAGCCCTCAGCCTGCTTCGCTCCCCTCTGTTTGCGCCGCCACTGTAATCGCCTGGAAGAGATCCCCCTTCAAACAAAATGAGCTTGCTCTGACAGCTCTGAAGGCCGGCGCATGTTCTACTGAGAAACATTTAGGGAGACCTCTCTGTCCAATGGGCCGGCCAGGTCTGCTGTTCTTAGAACCAGATGCATGGGAATCATTTGGTTACTCAGTGCATTGGCAGTGTGGCTTGTTGACAAGGTTGATTCGAGAGATGCACCGCGTCTGATTGTTACTTGTTACTGGAATCATTGCTGTCTCTGACTGTAAATTAAGTTTAGCCCATGACATTATTGAAATTTAGACTGTCTCCAAATAGCCTCAGCAACAAGATACAGACACATATTGCCTGTGAGCAATGGTGAAACAAGGAACATTTGTCCCTTTAATTATTTCATGTGCCTTCAATTCTAGTTCTCAGAGATTATAATCCAACGTCACGTGGGTCAAAATTATTATTATTTACTCTTTTCTTCAGAGGTCTTCAGCGGCCGGTAACTTGAAAAAGCCTGAAAACCTCCCAGATTGTGGCCTGTAGGGATTTGGATTAGGAAAGGCCATATGAGCTGCTCAAAGATCGATGCTTACAAGAGAGCTTCATGCTGGAGCTGATCAATTAATTAATGAGGCAATGTCTCACTTCTTTGCCTGCTCTGCTGTGCAGTGCAGTTGCCCTGTGTCACGCAGGTAAGAACAGCACTAGGAGGTGAAATTGGTCCCCTCCTCTATGTGAAGCAGTTTGGATGAAAGGTGCTGTATAAATGTAATCTATCCATTGATAGGTTGTTTATTAAAATTAACAAATGAATACAGTTTCAACTTTCCTCTTCCCTTGTCTGATACAGATTATTTGTGGTTTATCTGCAGATGGTGGTCAAGTGTGACCATGGTGAACTGCACCAGTAGACCTGGTTCTGCTTCATGAAAACACAGTATTGCCTGCACTCTGTAGCTTTCCAACACGTCTCCCAGCTTCCCTCTGTTTCTCTGGGAGCTACCCTGAACGTAATGCACTGCACTAGCATTTTATCATCATTTTGTAAATGATAGGTGTTTGTTTTCATATCCTCTCGTTGATACTGGATTCCAGTACTCTGGCTATTTTCTGGGAACAATGTGTGGGTGAGTGCAGTCTTGGACCTGCTCTGTAACAAAAGAAACACAGCGGTGTAGTAGATTAAATGTCAGCTTCCTATAGGAGTTATAAAGTTGCTCCTTCAAGAGAGTTACATCCTGTCCTTTAAGAATGATCAGGTTTCCGACCAGTGTCAGTGATTAGTTTATTGCCAGATTTTTCTAGTAATTCCGATGAAACCAGTCTCTTGGGCTTTTGTCGGGAGATTCTGGTTTCCCGGCCCCAGAGCGACGGTGAGGTTAACCTCCTCCCCCTTCTCTGTCTCCCCCAGACTCGGAAAACTCCCTCCTCCGCTACCTGAGCGACGACAAGATCCTGGTGATCCAGGAGGAGCCGGAGACGCAGCGGGAGTGCAAGAGGGACACGGGGCGGCGGTCCCGGAAGAAGGGCAAGAATCCCAGCAGCCCCAGCTATCCCATCAGCCCCAACTCCCTGCTGGCCCCCACTGTCAGGATGGACTCGGGTCCCCCTGAGAGCCTGCCCTTCCCGCTGCCCGAGAGCAACACCGTGCCGCTGTACCACGTGAGCGCTCTCTTCCTCTACCTGCTTCCAGCGGCGGCCTGCCTGCCCAATAGCTGGAAGTCCCTGTAAAAGTGTCAAGCTGCAGAACCGCAAAGGAGCAGAGCGATTTTATTCTGCCCCTGAACGTGGGTTTAAAAATTTAGCCTGACGTGACCATTTAAAAAAAAAAAAAGCAGAGTGATTATTTTTTAAAAGACTTTGAAAGCTGCCCCATGATAGCTGCCCCGTAGTTAGATGTGTCTTAATCAGGTTCAGGTAATTTGATTAATCGGGGTTTGCTTGTGCATGAAGGGGATTGCTGTTGCCCAACATTAGCAATGACTGACCGCTAGAATGGTCAGTTGACCGAGGGGGTTAATGGGTTGAATTCTTTTCCTGCTTTGAGTCTAGTTCTGAGGTCTGCTGACCACTGTTTCATTGAGCTGCAAGCCAGATTTTTTCAGAGCTCACCTGTGAGCTCATCTCCATTGCTGCTGCACTCCGTTCAGGGCGGTGTCCCACGGTTGAGCTTTCGGCCAGGCCTGGGCCCTGCAGGAGAAAGCGAGACCTTTAACTGGCGTCCGCGTGACCTAAACGGAAATGGACGGTTGTGTCAGTCTCGCCCTTGTCCACTCTCTAACTCAAAGATGCGTTTGATACTGGTTAGACCCTGGTTGTGCTGTGAGAGCTGCTAGTCTGCGGGTTTGCTCTTGCAAGAGCTGAGGGGGGTGGGCCGCTGCCTGTGTGTGAAACTAGAAAGTGTTTTCTGAGTCAGGCTGCTTTCCATCAACCGCTGTCGTGCCGTCTTTGTCTCCCAGCAAAATAGACGTCATTTCAGGATTCTTTACTACGGCGTGCGAGCCTAAAATCACTGTTTTCTTTCTAGTATTTGGTGTACCCCTACTCCCCCTTCCACCATTCCTCCCTCTACAAAAACACACATTGTTACAGAGTAATTTTCCCTCCTGACTCATCGCAGTCAGGGGTGGTGAAATTACCGTTTTCGCATGTCAGCTCTGCACAGGGGCCCGGGGAAGCTCCTTGCTGGCTCCTGATTCGTTGATTATGGCTTCCAGCCTCCAGCCTGGCGCTGACAGGCACGGGGACGAGTGGGCAGCTCCAGAGCTGTGCCAGGGACACTGGCGCATCCTCTGCCGGCAGGAGCTGTTTCCTTCTGGGCCAAAGCACAGAAAGGATGAAGAGATCCGAGTAGGGAGCTGCATCGGCACGTGTAGGCTACAAAGGAACGGGTAATGGTCCCAGGACACACCTGGAGGCTCCACTGCCAAAGCGCTGTGTCTCTTTTCCTTTCAGCATGGAATATACCCTTACTTGTTCCTAGGATGAAGACAGGTTAGCTGTGTGTGCCCTCAATCTATCTGCACTCATTGTTTGACAGAAACCTGTAATCATAACATGGTGTTCGGTCATTTACATCAGCAGTGACAGGGAGCTTAAATTCTAAAGGAAGGATCTGGACTTTCTACTTTTAGATGTCTGCATGCATATCTGTGTTTTTCTGACTGTCTCCATCCCTCGCTGTGCACCGTTTTCTTCAAAGATTGGAAAGTGCATGGGGGGGATTGCGTTGATATATCTTAGGCTTCATATCTAGGCGATGCAAAGTGTTTTCTTGAAAAAAAGTGCTGTGAATCTATAGGAGAGGGGAGCATTTCAGACATCGTTCTCCAACAAGATCAAGCTCATGGTTTATACTGTATGTGTCTTTGCATCATCCCCAAGAAGGAGACCCTTCTGTCATCCCTAGACGCGCGTGTTCAAAATGAAAGTCTTCCATCGATCTCCTCGTAGGGCAGTAATGTAAAGACTACAGTACAGAGTTCAGCGTGCACAGGGAAACATTTCAGGAGAAGCTCAGTTTTCCAGAATTCCGATTAAGAGAGTCTTCTTCAAACGACAGTGCTGCTCTAGTTTATTGTGATCCTGAAGCTGACAGCATTTCTGAGACCCAGAAGCCCAAGGTGAGCTTGTCAAGGGAAATTACATTTGACGAGACATCAAGGAAGTTAGAGATAAAGAAGGAAATCTGAATTCATAATGAGTGTCATCATTTATTCATCAACATTGTGAGATAAGGCCTATAAATAAGCACTTGGTCTCTGAGGTGCAAACCTTTTGGATTCATTAATAATGGATGTAAAAATGAGATTGTTTTACTCTGAGAGCAGTACTGAGCTGACAATGTGCTCATGGGCAAAGCACACCTATGTAATAACCTTACTGTAATCACTTATTTCTGTGTCACTGGCTGTGGAAATGCAGGACTGGGTGCTAGGCATGGCTCAGCCATGCAAGGCAGGGACTCCCAGCTGAGAAGGCCTGACAGTGGGGGTTTATGCCTAATGCCATGCAGCCACACGGTGGCTTTGGTACAACCAGTGATTACGAGGCAACGAGTAATTGATTAACGAGGGGGAGAGCTCAGAGGAGGAATGGGTGAGAACTAAAAGGAGCTCTTCCCCCCCTTCCCCCCCAAGTGGAATCCCCCAGTTTTAACACAGCACCCTGTGGCATAAATATGAGCCTCCTGCGTGATCGTCTGTGTATGGCCCCACATGGTGCAAGTTCCACACCTTGCCGTGAGCTATCTGGGAGGTTTTGACGCATCCCAGGGGTTGAACAACCATGGAAGAAAACTCTGTGACCTGGAAGTGAAGGTCACTCGTTCTTACTCCTCCTAATAGAACCAGGAAATGCAGGAGGCATGCAGAGGGGTGGGGTGTGGATGGCAGGAACGTGTAAGTTGGGCATTTCTGGCTTTATATTTGTAACAGGAGAGTGCAGCTCTGGTCTATCCCAGTGATGCTCCCTTCTGCCACACCCCCTTTCCCTGCTCAGAGCACATTGCCAGACAAGCAGGGAGCCTACGTTTAGGCTGTGGAGCCTTCTTCGTGGAATAAACCTTTACCTTTAATAACAAGTAAGGAAACAGATGAACTGAGCCAAAGAGCCTCCCGTTCCTCTCCACTATGACCTAATAACTTTAAAACGAACAGGCAGAGGAGCAGAGCAATCTCCCGCACTCTTCATATAAATATTTCAGGCCACGAGATAGCGGGGTGACTGGGGCAGCCCCAGGGGTGACACTCAGCTGGCAGAGGGCGACAAGAACAAGAGAAAAGTTAGAAAAAGGTGTCTCTCCTGGCCTCAGTGTTAAGTGAACTTCCAAGCAGTTTCTGCTTGTGTCCTCTGGAAAGGGTTTCAGGGTTGATCCTTAAGAAGTCCAGTGGGATGTGAGTCAAGGCCTTTTGACTTAAAGGATTTTGAGTAGTTGAATCAAAGTGCCCTCATAGTCTTTTCTGTTGAGCGGAGCTCATTCAGTTCTTTTAATCTTAAAACAAAGTGTAGGCCTTTAAGCCCATTAATATATCTGATGGCTCTTCTCCGGACTCATCCCAGAACAGCAATATCTTACCAAAACTTGCACACAATATTCTAAATTATTTCTTGCTTTGACATCAGCTCTGCAGGCTGGGGGAGATTGCAGGCATGCTCGCAGGGTAACTAGGGGTCTTTTTTAAAAAATCTTATTCAAAGTAATGGAGAAAATAGAGACAACTGCTTTCGTGCCCTCGAAACGTCTGGGTCCTGTCTTCCAGGTCTCTCGGCACCCAGAGAGAACAGTCTCACAAAGGTGTGAGAAACGAAGGCACAGACAGCTGAGCTTTGAGCTAGTTCATTTCTAACTGCTGTTTGTTCTGAGTAAGTAAATGTAGTCCTACTTTAAATATTGAATAGCAGGCCTGATCCACGGTGAGGTCTGGAGACACTGATGCAAGCCCAGCAGGCAGAGGCTTCCAGAATGTTAACTGGCTTAGAGAGGAGGGAGCTGTCTGCCTTGTGCTCTGGATTCGTCCTCCTTTAAATTTTAATCACTCCCCATCAGCACTTCTGACGCCTGCGTCGTGTTAGGGACCGGGCCGGGAATCGTTCTCCCCGGCGGGGAGCCGAGATGGCGTCACGGAGGTCTCGGCCTCGGCTGTCTTCCCGGGCCGCCGTGTGTGCCCCCCTCCTCGCAGCTGGGGCTCAGGTTCCGCATGGCAGGCCTATCGCTTTGTGCAGCATCATCCCCCGAAGCTCAGGAAGCACTCGCAGTCCTGTGCCACTGTCCGGAGCCCTAAACTGGTGAGGGGTGGAGAAGGGAGAAAGTGGTCTAGTCGCTTCTGCTAAACTAGTTCTGCTCCATAGTCCTTCGGCATGGCCTTGTGCCCCGTGAGCACCACTTTAATCTCCCAAAGGGAGGGAATTATCATTAATATCACTATATATATAGTGATACGTGTCAGAGAACACGTCAG